GAACCTAAATAAGCTGAGAAAAGCAAAGATAAAGAACCGAGAAGAGTTAAGAAGAGCTAAGATAAGTTGAGAAAATGACCTGAGGAAAAGATGAGTTAAGTAAGATGAGCTGCTGGGATAAGCTAAGCAGGGGTCAAATAAGCTCTGAAGAATTAAGAAGCTGTGAGAAGAGCTGAGCTGAGCTGGTTAAGGTCCTGTAGAGAGAGCAATCCTTTCTGATATTCCTTTTAGAGAGAGCAATCCTTTCTGATATGTTATTTTTTGATGATTCATTAACTTTAATTTAATTATAAACCAGTATCTTCGGCCTTTGCGCAAGTTGATTTGTCACATTCAAGTTGCCAAACCGAAATACAATTTCATGCAAGCCAATGCAAAGGTTACCATCCACATCAGCATGGGGCACTGCAGCGATCTGAAGCTGATGGCAAGCATAAATGAGCAACATCTAGGCTCCTGACCGCTTCGCCCAACCTTTCACCAATCCACACCAATAAGCACATGTTTAAAAGCAAACAGAGACACGTGAGATTGACGCGTTGAACGGACAATTTCTATGCGGCCAAATCAAGAAGCGCTCTTGCTGAATCGCCAAGAACGATGTGAAAACCACGAGAAGAAACACTCCTCACATCTCCTCACTGGAAGAGTGACATGCGGTGACATGTGCCCTTGCCTTTGCAGAGCCGCATCGCGGTCCAAGCCGTCTAACAAGGCAGGAAGCAGAACTGCAGACACCTGGCGCTTCCAAACAAATTAAGTACCTGAAACGTGACAGTCTGCAACACCATGTTCAATCTGTGCAAATTGGCAAACTGAAAAGTGGAAAAATAGCAAGCTTTCAACAAGAAACTTTCAAAACGTTGAAACCATTACCCACTGAGCATCGCACGTAGAGCGCTACACCAATGCCTGTGATCAATGGAAGAGTGGCCTGGCGAATCTGCAGGAAGCTGTGAATCCTTCGAGGCTAGGAATGCCACGGTGCACGGTGCCCACGGTTCCCCATGGCCTCGTAACTGGCGCCGCCCGCCAGCTCCATGGCCAGGACGACTGAGGTGATGGGCACCTGAGCCGATGCCCTGTTGGTCACAAATTGGACTTTCGATGAAACGTTTTTAGTATTGTTTAGTATTGTTTAATATCGTTTAATATTGTTTAGTTGTTTTGGTTGAGAAATTGATATGTGTTTAATTGATGTTTTCAATTCTGTCTAGTCATGGTTTGTATCAAGTGCTTTCTTCAGTGTAAAATGCGAAAATCCGTCGTTTAGTGAGGCCGAAAGCAACTCAGTCGCCCGCACTACAGTTCGCAGCCAGCATAGATGCCATGCCAACAACAATATAAGTTGTGGCTGCCTGTGAAAGCTGTGCCCCAGACCACAGGACCAAACGTCACAGAGGATTTCATTCTGATTCCAATCACAACGCAGGAGTTTTTAACAGGGCTGCGAGGCAATCCACTTTCGCCAAGTTGCCGAGTGGGCGATGGCAGCCCCCTGAAGTCAACAGCTCGCGACTCACCAAGGGTCAAAGTCCCCAACTTGTGGCCACATGTCCGGACGCCCCAAAACAGTTTCCTTTTGTCAGGTGAGCGCTGCTTTATTTCACTGAAGTTTTATGCAAGAATTTCCACTTTGGAACAAGATGAACAAGACTTCAACATCGCCAATTCGTTGCCTCTATCATGCGACCCAGCGCGCCGCCAAGGCAGGCTCCGATGTAAATGGACGGAGCGAAGGTTCCTGTCATCGATCCAATCTCTTCTGTTTACTGTCGGATTCTCTGGCAGCCAAGTTCGGCTGGTGGACATGCGGCTGGTGAGCTGGATTGAGTGGAAACGAATCAATGGAAACGAATTAGCCTGCCTCCAACTAGACCACTGACTGAAGAGAAGGCAGTGGAAAAGATCTTGAGCACCTTGAGTGACTGGAAACCAAATGGATAAATGGATAAAACACGATAAAACTACAGTGCTGAACCCGATTGGGAGCCCAAGCCATTAGGGCCAGCAGCGGCGCTGCACCGAAGAGGCCAATGGAGCCACGGTTCTGGCGGTGCAGCACCAGAGCACCAAATCTGCAAATAAAATCACATAAATTCTCATGTTTCTCATCCAATCCTGCACCTTGACGAACTCACCGATTCTTCCGGCCATGGGCCATCGGCCATCTTACTTCACCTTGTTCCTTTGTACTTCCCTAGTCACTTCCATTCTTGCCTCGATCAACGGTGCTAGCGACAGGTTGGATGCTGCTTCACCCAAGGGCTCAGAGGCATCGCGCAGCACCTCATTCACTGCCTTGGCGATGCAACGTCTTAAGGGTCAGGAAAGACCTAGAGACACGTGGGAAACACATGGGCTTGAGCTGCAAAAAAAATCATTATTCAATTTCATGGAAAATGAACCTTTTGCCAAACAGCTTCTTATCCATTTCCAGGGTCAATCTGCTTGTATTGGACATGTTCCTCAATTAGGTGCCATGAAACTGGAGGTTTCGCTTAGGAGATCTGATCATCTTCATCATCTTCTAATCAACATCTGCTGTTTTAGGGTCAACAACTTGCCTTGGCTCCCAAACGCCGAAGCCATCGAACTGGACACGGGCGCACGTGAGCAAAGAGATGAGGACCGTCACAAGCGCACCTGCCTCAGTGCAGGTGACACACGGTGACACACGGTGATTGATCCGACCGATCCAAGTGATCCAACCTGCTTTGCATTGTGAGGTTGAACCAGGTTGACTCTTTGATGTGCTCATACAGCAAAAACATAACACGTTTATTTTTCCAGAAATCACACTTGGACATGAGAAAAGGGCAAAAAGCCGCACTTTCCAAACACTTCAAATGCTGCTGTCACCTGGGAAATCTGAGCTCCGCACGATGGGTAGCCAAATGTTAGGTACTCCTTGATCTGTCACCCAGGTGATGATATCGCGGCTTGAAGCCACGATCTTCTTGTAGCCATAGGCGATCATTCCTGGCTGGTGGTATCAGAGCTTTACTGTTTGAAGAAATATGGTAGATACAAAAAATTGCAGTTGCCGAACGTTGTAATCTTATTTGAGGTGGGAAGCAGCGTTTTGGAAGACGTTTCGAGCTGCGGAAGTTCTTACAACTGAACTTCAAGCCTGTGAGGACACCCAAAATGATGAAGAGGAACAACTCCTTCCGAGGTTAACACAGAAACTACAGCCGTAGCCACAAAATCAAAGGTGTGAAGGGAGCTCGCGCAAGCTGTGCAAACATCTCAAGCTGGACAGTGACTAGCGTATACCAGCGTATACTAGCGTGACTAGTCCAAATGTTGCCTCACCTGAGGGCCCAGCGCCGTTCCCTCCGTCCCAGGAGAAGTTCGTGGTTTTGATGGCGGGGCCGCCCTTAGTCAAAATGGGACTTGGGCCATGTGGCCATGTGGCCATGTGGCCATGCTGATGTATGTTGACTCCGAGGTGACTCCAAGATCCGCATTTCGATGCATGGCCTCTGGGTACCGCGCCGGTAGAAAAGATTGAACCACAGCAGCGCTCACTGCTGCTGCAAGCAGCCTGGACGGTTTATGAAACAAGTGTCATCAAGTGTCATGGTGGACTGGTGGACAACCAAACTGTGTGGGTATGTTCATTTCGAGACAAAGCTGGGCAGAATGCTGCACCCTTATTGCCCATGATATCCATGGGGCTGGAAAACACCATTCAACTCCCATTGCTCCCGTTGCTTCATTTTCTCACCTTGTTGTGAGATCCAGGGAGTTGTCGTCACCTGGTCTAACGACCTGCACAGCGGTTGGACCTCACCAAGCTTTGCACTTACTCTCAGTGAGCCGATTACGATCCAATCTGCAGCAAACCTATCATTTTTATATATTTTTGTTCATTTTTGAGGGCAACTCAACGAAATCTTGTCATTTGCCCGCTGGTGCCTTGCCTCTGAAGCAAAGAAAATACCCGCAATGGGTGCATTGAAACCTCAAACCGCCCAGGTCAACGACATCGGAGCTGTGGGAAATGGGTGAAATTCTCAGCTTGACACCTGCTGCAACGCCGGCAGCAGCGCCAGAGGCCAGAAGAGCATCTGGATTTTGATTTATCCTCCGCCCCACAACTGTCTGCGATGAAGTCATGCAATGAAAGGAAGATGTTTGAACTGATTGAATAGCTCAAATAGCAGCTAACATTTATACCGGTTAGATATTTCCAACTGGAGTGCTTTTAAGGTGAAATAGAGCCGCGAATGTCAGGTAAAAACAAAATGGTCACGCAGCGAGCACACTGGGGAAATCAACGGAGACTTTCTCATCAATGAAATTATGAACTGTGAATGATGTAAATCAACAGTTGATAATGATAATGAAACAAAACATAATCAACCATAATGCAAACTGCATGTTTCAACAAAGGAAATGCGTAAAATAAACTGAACAAATAGACATCAATCATCAATTGCCAAAACAGCAAACTATACAACACCTTCAGAAAAAAACACTGAACAGTAGGAAAACAGACAAGGCACACCGAAAAATGCGGAAGCAAATAGTTCGGACATCTAGGCAGTTTTTTTCTTGAGACATTTTGGCCTAAACCGCGAGAAGAAAAGGACAACTGCGGATTTTTTTGAAACGAAAGAAAAACACGAACACCGAGGACATAGTTACTTAGGTGTGCAAATCAGCAAACCCAATTCTCACGCGACAACTGTGACAAACAATCCAAATACCATGAATATTGCAATGCCGTTTTTCATCTTGGCATCATGCCCAGACCCACGAAAGCATCACACTAGCAATGTCCGGCCAATAAAGAATTCAATCCCCAGAACTTTTTGTTTCACTTATCTTCACATCTTCATTTTCACCCTTTCTCCCCTTCCCGAGGTGTCTTTTTGAGTTTACTGAGCTCTTCACCTCGCCATGGATCCTTCGGATCGTCCACCGCAAGCCTCGAAGGAACAGCGATCCACGCTGAGCAACACCGCGTCGGTGCGTGCCTGCGACATCAACAGAAACCAAGAAACCAAAAAAAACTTGGGATTTCGAAATTTGTTTTTTTTGATCTTTAGCCAAAAGGGCAATTTAACCATCAAACATCAAACATTGTTCCAGTGCAGAATGGAAATGGGGTTATGTCAAAATGGGCGATAATGTATCAATTCATTGGCAACATGATGAAAAACCATTGGATCTTGAAGTGACCTATTTTCAAAACAAATCCACATCTGGAATGGAATGACTACCAACAAGGGAGAAGCATTGGGGTGCAGTTCCAGTTCTAAGTTGTTTATAGAACCATAGTTGTAGGGGTTATACGATTATCTCCCAGCTTATGTCTGTTAGAATCCCATAGTGATAGCCATTTGCTTCACCCCACACTTTTCTTGCGAAATCCTGCAGGGATTCCTGGGATTCCTATTTTCAACACTCAAAAAACCCATGGGATAACGGGATCGCCTTCACCGTGGCAGCTCGTGGTGCCCTGAACAGCACGGCCAACTCACCCACCACTTGACCACTCTCTTCATAGGCGAAGACCTGCCATGGCAGCCATGGCACCAAAAAAAGGGGGGTACCTTTATGGACCCAGAAATGGTTGGGATTTTTTCAGTCTTTAGATGTATTTCGTATCATCTTTGTATCTATTATTATTATGAAACATCATCTTTTTGGGATAATAATTGTCTAGATGATCAAAGATCCATGTTTTTTTGCGGAACATCTTGAGCCATTCCCAACTCAGAGCTGGGCAGATTCATCCAAGCCTTTTTCTCTTGGCCGCCATCTGGGAAATAGACATCCAGCTCCCCAGTTTTCCTGTGGCACAATTTTTCCGGATTTCTGCTGACCATGTGATCTGAAACGAGTACATCTCTAGTTTGATGATGTTTGATATTTAATGTTTCTTTTACATGTAAAATAAACTATCCTGTTTGATGGAAATGATGTCTGAGTCACCAGGGTCACCCAACGCCATCCCGAGACGCCGGGGTTTTTATGTCCAAGGCTCGTGACGAAGAGGCCTGGCTCATCATCTGCCACCTCGGCCGCGGCACCACATGGCACGTGCTGTACCATTAATGGCCTCGATAAATGCCCTGGCTCTTGAGACTAATGATGAAGCATGATAAAGCTAATCAAGCCAATTATCACTGCTTTGACAGGTCACCGGTTGACATATGTTGACATCTTTATATGGGAAGTTGGAATTCAGCATGGAGGTGCATCTCCTGGAGTATATAACCAAGTAAGCTGCAAGGATCTAAATGACAACGATCCGTGGTCCAGAATCACCACATCACCACAGCAATGAGTTGAATCTGCTCCACTTGTGGCACCCGCCTGATCTCCATGTTTCATCAAATTGTCGCCTGCCTTGATCCGAACCTACCACTGCGGCACACCGGCAAAATCTTTGTTTTTTTTGCACTGTAAAAGCGACACTTTTTCTGCTTGGCTTCATAATGCTTCTAACCCAAAAGAATATGAGCCATGGCCCCCATGGCGGAGTATCTTCGGATCATCCCTGAGGACAAATATAACTATACTATAGATAGATATATATATTATATGTATATATAATTATATAGACATAAAAAGACTCTATAACACCTTTATAACATCTATAACATATTCGAAAGCAACACCGCACCGTCCCAACAGCCGCCTCCTGGAAGAAGGTCAACAATTTGTCCAGGTCCTGTTTCAGCGCTTTGAATGGGAGCTTTTTGTGGCATGTGGGTTGCTTAAGAATCATCTTGAAAAATAGATTCATAAACCATAGGATGATTCTTCAAGCACATGGAAATTGTATGAATATGTATGATTTTGTTATCTGATTGCTCAGCCCATGACCTTTTCCAATGCGATTGCAGTTGATGATGTGTGCCTAGATGACTTCAGGGTCACCCATACCCCCCATACCCATCTCCCACTGCCTTGCCCGGGAGGCTGGCCACCACTTTGGAGCCACTGAGCGCTCTCTCAATCAGCTCGCAATCCTTCCAGGTCAAGGTGGATCACAAGGATTCAAAATTCATCCGAACCTCGACAACCTCGATCTAAATTCTTTCAAGGTTGATGTCCTTGATGTCCATTGATGTCCTCTCCCTGACATGTGAGGAAATATCGAAGTCATCTGGGTCCGCTCCCATTGAAGTCCTCCTTGGAGGGTGGTGGTCCTTTTGGTGCTGCCTGACGGTGTGATTGGAGCTAACCATAAGAAATCCTTGACGAGAGAATCATCCGCATGAAAGCAACTAACTGCCTTGTAACAAAAATATATCCCTATATATATATAATTATAATATGATATATTTCATGAAAGGACACAGCTTATGAACCCGCATCCGAATTCTGACAAGCCTTGGGATTCCAACATATTCCAACCTTTCACACCGCTAGAACATCACCAGTCGCAAGGGCATCGGCGCCTCATCGAGCGTAGCTTGAGTGCCAAAAATGGAAAAGACCTGGAGACGTCGCGGAGACGTCGCGCGATATGAAAAACAAAGAAGTTGCATTGGGATTTTGTTGGGATTAGCATGGATTGATTCACGGAAAAGAAGGAAAGATTATCTGGTGTAGATTCCATCGGGCCATGGTTGAAAGAAGAAGTTTGGTGTTTCTGAAAAGCGAGCCGCAAATGATGGCGACAAGTCTCCGGGATGTTCTGGGATGCACATTGATCTTGAATATTCTTGAATGATCTATGGAATCTATGTGCAACACTGCAATCAACAAGCAATTGTTTCAGACCGCTGACCCACAACCTTTGGTCTGGAATCCCAGAGAACCACTCGATCCCACTGCAAACACTCGGCAGACTTCTTCCTTTTGGTCCCATTCAAACCCGAGCCGTAAATGCGGAGACTCCGATGTCTGCTGTTCTTGATGGCCACTGATTGTGACCCAAGAGCTGGACTAGGTTGAAGACAGGTTCGTCACCAAAGAACTCCTGTTTCCACCTTGGCTCAACCTGCTTCAACCTGCTTCAACCTGTCCAAACATCACGGCTGCGGCCATCAGTTGCGACCCACGCGGGTGCCCACCATGCAGTAACCCAGATCCTCCACCAGGCTCTGAATGGGCATGGCCTGCAGAGCTGTGAGGCAATGTGAGGGGCCCGCCCTTCACCGACGCCCGGCCTCTGTGGAATGGCTTAACTCGTCCTGCCTCAGAAAGAACCATATCAAGCATGAAAGATCGTGGAAGATCGTGGAAGATCATGAAAGGTGATTGTGAAACTCATGCTGCTCTTTTTGCGACACATCAACTGCGATTGAAAGTCAACCAAGAAACGGTCAGGAAAGACTTCCACTGGGATGCTCAATGCAAGATTGACAAGTTCCAAAAGAGAGCTTTGGCTATGCCTACGTACTGCAGTAGTGTAGCTATCCACAGCCCATCGCAGAAAACTAGTTTTGTTGGTCAAGATATTAAAGAATGGTGATGCGTCCATAATATTCATATAATATTCATAGATTTAGTTGGCTGATCAAGTCCGAGAATGGCTTGATGGGAACTTCGAACGCATCCGCACAGCATTGACAAGTCGCCACAGGAAGAATGGAAGGAGAAACTGATCTCGTTGAATCCTAAGGCCGTGGGCTGTGGGCGCCGTGGCATGTCATGTTGAAGCTGCCCACTTTGTTGTCTTCACCTCAAAAACATCATCGGGACTTGGAAGAACTTTCGTGACTCTGATCGTAGTCTCCTTTTTGTTCTTCCTTTTTGTTCTTCCCAAAAAAGAAGCGATAGAAATGGCACTTCACCCAAGTTGCTCTTGGCACTTCAGAAATGTCTTTTCGAAGGCATCCTGAAATCAAGAGCAGTGGGATTGATACACACCTCGTGAAAATCTGGCAATGGAAGCAGAAAAACCCACTGCAGGTTGGCCTAGTCATGGTAAATTGACCATAGATGCCATAGATATCCTATCCGTCGTTCATGTTTTTAGTGATTCAGTGCAATGAAGGGCTGAGCTCTTGGAACATGCCGTGGCAATCCTTTGAATCCATAAATGTCATGAGATCACCACACGCAAACATCCTAAAACCAACCAAGGCTCTCTAACCTTCCTTGCTTTGCTGTGTTTCAAATTCCGAAAAATGACCTCGTTGCCGCTGCTGGCTGGAAGCATCTGTGTTCACGAACGGTCCCCCCAAAAATGGTTCCTTTGCACAGCTTCAACATGCGAACACTTTTGCACAGCATGCACACATTTCAAATCAAGCAGCGTTGGTTTCATAGTAATTCGGAGGCAAATATTTCCTGCAAAGCAGTGCATGGAGAGGAAAGGAATGAAGCAACATGTCAAATCTCTCAAAGTCACAAAGGTACAGATGGCAAGCCATGATTCATAACATTCCAGCTGATGCTTCTGATGCTATAGTATCGTCGCTGTGTTGGCGCAAGGTTCCATCGTCTGGCTCGATGCACAGATCGGAGTTGAGCTGCCCATAAATCCAACTTGGATTTAAATCGATTTAAAACCATCAATCTACCACAGGGAAAAGAACTTTTCACAAATGATTTCCTATGTGTCCCTAGTCCTGAAACTAAACATTAGAGCTTGCCTGAAACGTCAGAGAAATTGACAACGTGTTGGCCTGAAAAACGATGTTCAGATCAAACAAATGGAAGAATTGACACTTTCTTTTTTTTTTCATCGAGAGTACAAACAGTTTCATGTGATTTCATTAAAAACACATCTAATTGACATAAGATGACATAAGTACCAAAAATGACGACTTTTGCTTTGGACAGTCACCTCACCCAGCGCGCTGTGGCGTGAACCAGCTCCTGCCACCATGGGTCAACTTTCCCACGTGCATCTTCTCAAGCAGCTCCTTTCATGATTTCATGCTGCATCTGACCATTCAAAAATGGACCCTTGACCATCCAAAAAATGGTGTTTTTGGCTGTCCAAAAGTTGGGAATTGAAGGACTGAACATGAGGACTTATCAAGACATAAGGACTGAAGCATCCCAGAATGAGGACTTCACCGTATCCAAAACAGGGCATAACAACTCGGCATAACTAGGCATCAAAAAGCAGGGGTTAAACACAGATCAAAAGACTGGGGGGATGATCATGATAAATATCTGACATTATCTGATTATCCAAGCACCCAAAAATGGTCAATTTCGTATTGAAAGGGTACCATCATTCAATGGCCACCTGGTGTTTTGACAAACGGGGATTTACATGCCAAACACGGGGATGATAACCATCAAAATCATTAAACCATTAAACATCGGATGATCACACATATGGCTTAACTGGGTATTCCCTTTATGCATTTATAGCAAAACACGCCCTTGACCAACCCAAAAAAGGTTGACCCAGCGAGTGCTGCAATCACAATCATCATCTAGACAGAAAGTGGTGGTTTTCTATGGTTTCCTGTCTCCCCCTTCTACCATACCCTACTCACCTATCTATCATCCTATAAGTTTCGAGTTTTGTATCCCCTCCGACCAAAAGTCGCATGCCAAATGGGGATTTGAGCAGCATAGCGGCCTTCCATTTCAGGACGTTCATCCTGGAGGATGCGACCTGGGAACATTTGGATCGGCATGCGCTTCCCACCATGGTTCCCACCACATAAAACCAGCTGGATTTTTTGGTTTGATGGTTTCTGTGATGGTTTACACAGGGCTCCAGTTGAAGGCACAAAAAATAACTGAAGAATTTTTCCAGATTTGTTCGCCAAAAACATCATCTGTCTCAAGCCAGAACATGAGCTTCTGGGCATGGGCATGTTCGAAATGAGAAAACATTCTGAAACAAAGCAGCTACCTTGCAAGTGGATCAAGTGGCCATCATCATATCCAATTTCAGCTGCTTTGGGGAATTGGTTGCTTTGGTTGCTGAGCTGCGTATTGCACCCGCTCAGTCAGCATGCTGGAGACTTCCGTCATGAAGCATTTGAACCCATCGCCGGTGCAGTCGGTGTGGTAGCCCCAGTTCAACAAAACCTTCAGCAGAACCAGCTGGCGGCAGAGGGATCCCCACGAAAGTATGGGTCAAAAGAGGGAAACACCAAACATCACCAAACCCGAAACACCTAGAAGATTTGTTTTTCTGGGACGGAAATGATCTCTTGCAAAATCCGGCACCGTTGTACATTCCCCATGGATGCTGACTCTCAACTGCCACGGGGCTAACGAACGCTTCCGCAGTTTCTGCACAAAGTGCCGCAAGCGATGCAGATCCAGAACGATGTTTCCATCGTGTTCCACCAACCAATGCCAGGTTCCTGGGATGGCCATATGGCCATCGTCCAGGGGAATCCCATCCCCAATCCGCAATATATGCAGGGTATCCCTGAACATCCCACTACTCAACCAGGGTGAATGCGCAACAAGGGACCGTTCAACAGCCAGGAGGGCGGTGTAAATTTCCTGGGCGAAACTCAGCAAGGCATTAGTCAGCCCATGTCCTTGAAGATTTCACCCTAATTTGATGCCTCAAATTTCGAGCCGGTTGAAATCGGGGACAACTCTTTTTGATGTCCTGATTGAATCTTGTTGCAATGACCTGAAATCGACATGGAAAAGAAGTCAAACCACTCACGAGTCACTCTGCATCGTCACAATTTCTTCCCAAGGATCAGCGACTTGCTGGTGAGTCGAGGTCCAGAAACGTGCTTAGTTCCTGGAGGACATCTGCGACTTTGCCCATCGATGATCCAATAGGATTGGTTACCTTCTGGTAAACTAACATAGCTATGGAAAATCCCTATTTTTCATGGGTAAATCCACTATAAATGGCCATTTTCAATAGCTATGTTAAATTACCAGAGGGTAAATCCACTGATTTTTCAGGCCTGGGATCTGAGTGAAATTCCGGATGTGCCAACCTCACTGTGGCACCATAAAATGTGGATTGGAGATTTACCCACACATGGTGAAACAGGGATCAAACATGGGGATGTAAGCAATGAAGAAATCATAATTCACATGATGGTACACACACACATATATATATATCAGAAATGAGGGATGGGTCTCCATGTTCGGGCAATTTCACTCGCAAACATGATGATATGCCACTGGAATTTGAGGGCAGCCCATTTTCAGACTGCACAAACAAACCTATATCAATCAGCCCGCTGTCTTGGACTTAAGCATGCACGACTTGCACTAAAAGAAAAACTTGGACGACGTGCAAGTAACAAAAAACTGAATAGGCTCATGTTTTAAACATGCCCAAATGAATCCCATCCGCCTAGTTTTAAATATGAACCCCCAAAACAATACATCCAATACTTAACCAGTTTTTTTTTCTTACGAGGGTATTCACATTTAATTTTAAGGGAATGGGATTCTTGTGACTGCAACTCAGCATGTCTGAAATGACGCCTTGACGCTTCGCCGAGCAACCCAAATCTTGCCATTGTTTCACCGTCTTTCCAAAGCGTCTCATGCCCACTTCCTCACAGTAAAAAGATCAGGGCACGCAGCATTTCGAAGTCTTGCAGCCCACCCCATCCGTGGGTGCTGAGTTCCCAACATCTATGAACCTGAAGCGAATGGCTGGGCAGACAACCAACTGCACACTTGATCCACAAGTATCCACAGAGACATGAGAACCCTTTAAAACTTGAACCTTCAGATGCACATGTTCTCACGAGGTTTTTGCAGCTTAAAGATCTTACCACAACCCACGGACTGCCACGAGACAGGAAGGCATCGACTCCTGGTGGGACACACGGCACGAAGTCACTTCGCATGGCTTCGTAACCACCTCAGAAGACTTGGTCTAGACATCCATTTTGCGAACAAAAAAAACCCAAATCTAGACCCAAAAGTATAAATCTACCATGGAACCATGGTTTCTAGAGGAACAATGAGGAACATTGGGGAGGGATTTGTTGCACATCCCTTACTCAACCCAAATGTCAAGATCCTGGAAACACCACGCTCCAAAGTGCCATAGATTCCGGTCATTTTGAGCATCTACACATCACCTGACAGGCTGCCAAGGCTGCCAAGTGGCCAATGTTGTAAGTGTACCTGGAGAGATCCGGGGAGGCACTTCTGACACTTGCAACAGGACTTAAATGGAACGAAATAAATGACCACATGGCCACAGGAATGAACGAATCGATGAAGGAATGGACAACTTTGGGGAAACCTTGGGTAGAGATGTTGAATCCTATTCTTGAACTTCACAGTGGTTGGGGTTTCTTGCCTGGATAATTCGATTTTGAGGATTGTCCTGCGACATTGCCTGGAAAGGTTTAGGGCAAAGAGAGGAACACCTGGTACAAAGAACCTCCATCAAACCAGGTTTGTTCTTCGGGTCAGAAAATTAGCAGCAAATCCAGGTACTTTGGGTCATTCAACATCGTGGCTTCTACCTGGCCCATAACAATGTTTTCTGTTTTTCAAAGATTTATGTCGAACGTGTTTGAAGAAGGCTGCCTACAATTCCCACACAATATGTTTAACGCAATAACATGCCGACGGGTACCTTAGTGACAGTGCTATTGCTGCCCAGAGCACACTGCGATGCGCATGGTGCTTTGATCTTCGCTCTCCATGTCCCGATCACAGGAGTAGTCTTCGCCTCAGCATCCGCCATGTCCTGGATACCCAACACCAGAATTTTCGGCCGAGGTTCACATATCCCATGAAAATGAAGGCAACTAATGTCAACTACTACTGATTCCAACAAGGGTTTACCTTTTTATTTTGGCAACTCCCCTAATATCTGGTTGGTTAATCCTCCACTGTAGATAGTTACTTATATCATGTTATACCCTACCTTTCATTAAAAATTACCCTCTGGTTATTTAACATAGCCATGGTATAGATGGCCCATAGAAATAGTTGGTTCACCGTTCTTAAAAATGGGTGGATTTTCCATGGCAAACTGTGAATGTCATAACCAGATGGTATTCCGATTTGAGGACTTTCTTTCGCCAAGGTTTTCTTGCCGTGTGGCGGCATGCTGGTGGATGATGGTCATCTACCATCATGGCTTCACCCTGCCATCACCAGCACAGCAAAACTTCCAGCTGAACCAACTCAGATGGCAGTGTGTCAAAACCTTGTACCCCTGGTGAACATCAAAATAGCTGGTAAATGGATGTTCATCCCCCTAAAAATGGTATTAATAGGTAATGATCCATACCCAGATGTCTTCAAGATTCTAATGGAGGCAACCCATTTTGCTAAGCATGGCTTGCATACCTTGGACCCTTCGACAAACCAGTTTTTTTTTGAGAAACCTGGAAAAGTGTGTCAAACTCTGGCCTCTTCCGCAAAGATGAATTCCTGAGAAGCGCATCTTCCGACGTGAAAATGGGAGATGAACGCCCATTTTGTGGCCCTTCTGATAGGGAAAATGATGATCAACAGTGAGACTTTGGGAAATCTAGACATCATCTGAACCCCCAATTTGAGGTATCTAAAGCACATGGATGGTTTTTGGCTTCACCTGCCACTTTTCAGTGCGCCTCGTTGTGTCTGGTCAAAGACAACATGGCCATCCCAAAGGCATATTGACGTTCTGCCCGTCTTATGACGGTGATGAGATCTGCATTTTTGGTATTCAGATCCCCAAAGTCATGTATCGGCAGGTCACATCTCCACCAATGGAACACCCAAAAATTTGCTCTTGGAACCTCCCTACAATTTCGCGGTTCCACATTTGTTTTCAGAGGCGTCACCCGCAATCTGTCCTGGCAATTTGAAATCCCCCAGTCAAAGATACCTGTCATAAATTTTCCCATGAGTGATAAGAATTCCTTCTCTCCCAGGTCTGTTTACCAGAGGATAAACTATCAATCTATCATATCTAGGTGAAACAATACTGGTTGGTGGTTGACCTACCCCTTTGAAAAATGATGGAGTTCGTCAGTTGGGATGATTATTCCCAATATGATGGGAAAGTCATAATCCAGCCATGTTCCAGTCACCACCAACCAGTTTTGAATCATCAACCACATCAATCATCATCAACCATCATTAACCCAAACCACCAATCAGGTAATAGTAAAATAGAAGGTGAAAATCCCATCTTCGATCACAATCCCATCCCAATACTGAGGAATTGGCGGGGGTTTGCTGCTTGAAAACCACCCCAAAACTGGATCATTTTTGATGAACCCAATGCAATTCTCGGTTTTTCACCTCTCATTTTGTGTGGTCAAACTCCCTGTAGTTTCATGGAAACACCCAGCATTTTTGATACTTCATGGCGAATCACTTATTGTCCACACATTTCGATGGTTCGATCCCCCATTTTTCATGGTTATTCATGGTTCATCCGGCATTTTCCCATGGAAAACCCCAGCCATTTTTATGGCCGAGGATCTCCATCTGCCGCCACCGCCTTGCGCATCAAGCGCGGAGAGATTGCGGAGCCGCACACGGCGGCGATGCCACCTGGAGGAGGGATGGAAGTAGCAATCCCCAGTAGAACCAGGATTTTTGAAGGGAAATGATATAGAACAGCTAATAACCAATTGGGATTTTCATGTTGTTCTAATTGTTGTTCTAATTGTCTAATTGGTTTGAATTCATTTGGAATACGATGTACTTCGGATTTTTTCACCAAAACACATGGAAAAGATATGTATTTCATTGGAATCTAGTCAACAAATGATGTAAGCGCTCATATGTTTTGTAACCAACAGAAAGATTTCACAGTCAAGATCTCAACATAAGCAAACATATTGGGAGCAAACCGTTGATGAGCATTGCGCTCTTTGCCAGCTGTTTGGTCCGACTAATATCAACGAAATTCCAAGAATGGGGATACAACACATTCACAATGCTGGTGATAATCTTACATTACCCGATATTGGGTTGACATGACGGTACCCTCACAGTCAGCTGATCGGGTGGCTCAACCACCTCGCAGAAGAGTATCAACTTTAGCGTGAAAAGTTGTAACCGTCGATGCATCTGGCAAATCTGGCCTCCGTCATCAAGTTTCATCCCGTCTATTGTCGATCTTCATTTGGATACCCGAAACTGAAGATGCAGGTCTATGGTAGCTACAATCCGGCCCCTTCAGAACATGTCGAAGACATATTTCATGTGCCAAACTCCACATCAGGGGGTCTATGGCCACATTTTGTGACACCCATACCCTCCAATTGAGGCTGAGGTGCTAAGGTAAACGGCCCAGTGCCATGCCATTCGCAAACGCCTGGTGGCTACCGAGAAACTCCGGATTTCCCACGACATTTCACGAATGGTTCTCTTGTTTAAGGTGATCCGATCCAAACTCCAATCTGACATTCCAAAGGATCAACAACTCATTTGGTGATGATGTCAGTTGGAGAGATGAGCGAAAACCATGAGATTGTCATAAGCAATTCGCGTGAAATCTATGTGGGTAATATCTTATGTAATGACAATATCTCACGGGCACTCCAGTTCTTTGGGGTTCATTCCCTGGGTTTGTCGGAAAAATGAGGGTATTCCTAACTGATGAAACAAATCATTTTCACCATTTACAAACACATAAAATGGTCATTTTCACCCATTCAATGGCCACAAAAAAAAAGGGGGTTAGCCTCAAATAGCCCCAAGGGACTGCCACGCCTGGCATAGACGGCGCGGAAATCCTATGGATGACCTGCTCTGCTAAGAGCCGATGTGGCTTCTGGGGTCCTGCAGCCTCATCTCAGCAAAAAACATAGTGTACATGCTGTACTAATATCTTTTATAATAACCCATTTATTCCATTATATTCCATTTATTCTGGATCCCACAAAAAAATACATATTTAACATGGTTTATCCCATATGGCATCATTATGGAACTATGGATATGGGATCAACATGGGATGATCCACATCTCGAATTCACACAGTCTTCTCCTGGGACGAAAGCACCAGCCTGGCCCAAGCCGAATGCAACGTTGGCACCTGCCGGTTTTTCCATGGATTTTGGGTGACTCAGCCATCCATCAACCTGCAAAAATATCATGTAGCATGGTGATGCGAATAGATTGGAGCAGGACATAGTGAAATCACAAAAACCGGTCTAACTGGAAATTGCTATTTTTTTTGGGCTGCAATCTCAGCAACAACTGCCCCTTGAGAAGATGCTGCGCTTCTTTGAATCGACCCGAGAGTTCAGAAGTGCAGTCAGCTCTGTTTGTTCCCGCAGCCTTTTCCAGAAGTGCTGGTTTCTCATGAGGCAGCACTTTTGATTTTGCAATAGCTGTATTGCCAGTATTGCTTCAAAACAAAGTTTCATCGTTAAACACACACACGCACACTTTTCACTACTAGTATGCACTACTCCTTTCAAAACAGTTGAGTACATACACCTTTTAAATGCGCAGTATGCTTTTCCAATGGCATTCTTGCAAGCTTGGCAGCACTTGCTTAGAGTAGGTTTCAAACAAAACACATGAAACAACTTTCACCACCTACCCTCTGGTAATTTGTTGCATAGCTATTGAAAATTGAACATGACCCAGTCGAAATAGTGGATTTACCCAGCTAGAAAATAGTGGATCTTTCCATCGTTTTTTGTATGTTTACCGGAGGGTCTCCAAATCCACTGCTCCACTAAGGGACCCCACCCAGCGTGGCCGCCGGTGCTTCGGGCCCCAGGGAATTTCCGGAGCCCAGGGTGATGGCTGCGGACCTCGATCCAAGGATGGTGAAAAATGGTGGTGAAACATGAAAAAATGTGGTTAAAAATGTGGTTAAAAATGGGTTAAATAATGGTGGTTAATGGATTTTAATGGGTTAAATGGAGGTGAAATGAGAGGGTTTTGAAAAAACAATATGAAGCAATGATGAGCGAGATTTCATCCACTGCAGTTGTGTATTTTTTTCCATAATCCCGGGCAATCTACTCGCAAGTCGAAGCCGGGTCTGTGCACAAAATCTGGAGGCACTTTTTCTAAACCACCTGTGATTTGTTCGCTCTTGGTGTAGCTTATTCCACAGGCCAGTCGATGACCACCAAATCTCTACATTCTGAATATTCGAGCCAAGCCTCCAATCCATGATAGAAATGATCTGCTCATGAACCGTTCTTTTGAAACTATGAAGCCTCAACACTGCCAACCAACGCCCAAAGCCTCATAAACATCGGTTTAGCCGAAAACAGAGTATCTCAAAAATTCCCAAATTCACTCCTGTACCACCGTTTTCTCTACTATGAAGATCAACTGGGGGGTAACTCCTCCATTTTGAGCCGGTTATGTGGGTAGCTCCACACTCCACACTGTGGTTCCACACAAGGCGTTGCCCGCGGCGCGAAGCGGCCAGTTTTCAGGTGGCTCCGGGCCACCTGTTCTCGTCCAATCTAAGGGCACTTGGAACATACTTGACCTATGGCCATGTCTGAAAGTTCGGTCAATCCCGCAAACCCTATGGTTTATCCCATTTTCATGCATTTTCCACATACCATTGGAACTTTGGGGTACCATTTTGAGACAAATGGGCAGCATTTCTGGAGCCGGCCTGCTGCTGCATATGATTTCCTCAGTGCGACTGTTTCTTTGGATGGGCCGAAAGGAGATCAGGTAGCCTCTGGCAACATCCGGGGAACATGATTTCAAATAAAGATTTGTTTCATAAAATGCAGGATTTACATGGATTTACATCATTTCAAGGCCAAGAACATAAAGAAAACATGAGGTTTCAATCTCTGAGCCAGGAGATTTTGGGTGTTGACACAACCCCATGGCCCTGCAATGCCCTGCAATGCCCAGCTGCAAGGATTTGATGTCCGTCCCTGCAAGGCCTGAAGAGTTGGCCACACATGTGCCATGACTCAAGTGACTCACGGGCACATGATTTGTTTCTGAACAAAAAAACTACCCTCTGGTAATTTAACATAGCTATTGAAAATGGCCATTTATAGTGAGTTTTCCCATTAAACATTGTCATTTTCCATAGCTATGTTAGTTTACCAGAGGGTATATTGCAGACTAGATTCACTAGATATTTCTTTAAAGACTCTTTGACCAGAACAAACTTGTGACCAACTCCCAACTCCCGTGCCTTCTTTGCCACCGAAAGCGGTGAATATCCCTGCAAGGACCAAAGCACCTGTGGCTTCATCCACAGTGTCCCGATATCTTCCAGCGAAACATTGATGGTTTCATGGAAGAAATCCAGACATCTTCAAAAATCTCCAAAAAATCTTGGCATGTCTTCAACTTTAACACATTTTTTTTTCACTATTCCCACTATTCCCAAGCGCTGCCATCGTCAACTCGGGCACCAAGAAGCGGTGCAATCACGGGCAATGGGAGCTCTTCCCGTAGCTCCTCCGTGGCACAAGAGCGGAGCGCAGCAGCGCAGCAAGAGTGCGCAGTGGCGCAGTCGTCCTCCATCGTTGTGATGATTCCCTCAAAAACCACCACAGCGCAACCTGCAACATCTGAGGAAACAACTTTTGCATCTGAGAAATACTGCACATGAAAACAGAAGTTTCGAAAGCGTGTGAGAGTTTCTCAAGGCAACGTGTCAATTTCAATAGCCTCCATTCTTTTTGCTGTGAAGTTCCAAGGCTTTTTCACCTCACAAACCGTGTTTAGACAAGTCGGGCCTGTAGACAAGCCAATCAATGTACTGCTTAGCAGTACCTAAGTCCGACCATGGTGCTGGCAAATCCCTGCAAAAATATGCAAAAATCACCAAGTGCAAAATCTGGTTGGTGGTTGACCTACCCCTCTGAAAAAGATGAGTGAAAGTCAGTTGGGATGATTTTCCATTCCCAACTGAATGGAAAAATAATGTTCCAAACCACCAACCAGATCATTAATCATTACCATTAATCATCATTAATCACCATTAATCAATTCCTTCAACCACGGTCCAGTCCAACTAACCTTCACGAAGAGTTTGGGCCCCGACTGTTGGACCTTCAGGTCCAAAGAGCTTGAAACCTCGCAGAACGCCCAAACTCAGCATGTGGTAGTTATTGGTGAGAAAAAATCCCCTTCTCTCCCAAAAAAAATCTGGAAATGGTTGGTTTATGGCTGGTAAAATCTGGAAATGGTTGGTTTGTGCTTGGGAATTTCCTTGGCGTCGGGGCCTGGGGCTCTGCTGGGGCTCTGGGTCTGGGTTGGTTTTGGACCATCAAAACTCTCCATGTTAAGCACTGTTTTTGGGGTTCCAAACTTGCATTCGCTGCGCGTGCCACAGGTGACCATCGTCTAAACGAAGACCTGGCAACATCTCCAGTGGGTGGGAGCATTGACCCACATGCAGCAGCATGGCTTGCATGGCTCAAATGTCAATATCTCAAAATACCTCTCAATTAGTGGATTAGTAGTTCTCCGTGCATGGTACTGGTTTTGGTTATCTTGGAGTTGCATCTGCCAAGCTTTTGGTGTGCTATCCCAGTTTTGTCGCAACTTCCTTTCCGCCCATCTCGTGGGTTATTCACTGGATTGAATGCGGAGACGACATCTGCAGGAAACTCTGCTTGTCCCCCGGAAACATGGTGCATTTCCTGATTCAACAAGTCCTTAAATTTGCTTGTGCTTAGTAGGGAATAGGGGAATGATCAAAATTGCATCATTATTGCTAATTCCATAATCATGATCCACAATCACTATTATTTTTCATAGTTAGTAATCCTATTACTATGAATCAAATATGATTAATGTCAATGGATTGGTTTAAGGGAAAATCGAAACCGGAAACCATGGATTTTCCCATCACATATGGTGTTTTCCTGTAAATTTTCCCTTAAACCAATCCATTGATAATAGCATCATTCCCATTAATCCCATTGCCCAGCACCAGCCTGGTGGCGGTTCCGGCAATGGCCACCAGTCCCACAGGCAGCAAGGCCGACGTTGGGCCCGGCGATGCCTACGGGACATGGGACGAAAAAGGGGTGAACTGGTGAAAATAGCTGGTAAATGGATGTTCATCCCCCTAAAAATGGGTTAATAGGTATTGATCCATACCCAACTGATTTTCCAAATTTTCATTGGCCCAAATATGGATGGTTTGTAACATGAGCAGTTTCATGGGTCCATGAGACTGACCCACTTTTGACCCTCTCATGGAAGGTGTCGAGTGCACTTGCTTTTATACGTTGTTGCCCTGTATGTGTACATTATACACACGCGTAAGTGCATCGGGGTGATCCAATCTCAGCTTACCATTTCAGTAAAATCACTTGAACATGTCATTACTAATCACTACATTTTTTTGAGGTTTCAGATCCAAAATCGAACCATCATCACACTCTTCGAAACAGAGAGCATTCCAAATGTCCTGACAAAATGACAATTGAAACACTTTAGGTATCAATATACAATCTCTTTTTGAGACATATATTCCCCCCTGAGCACATCAATCGTGGGGATATTGGATGATATCGGAAATATACGACCCTGTCAACATATCGGGGATATAGGGATGTAATCAGAGGTTTCCCAACTGGATAAACTGGAACCTCCAATCACACATCGCTGTCACATCTCCCCATGTCGTAAACGATGATTTTTCCATCAAACTAAACCTCCATTTCGTAGGGATTTCCAGTTATCTTTTTTCGGACGGAAAACATGGATAATTTCTACCAGTAGGTACAACTTCAAGAAATCTTCCAGCAACATCCCAGCCTTGAACTGCTTTGAGGCGCTGGGTTTCCGCTCACGTTGGGTGCGTTGAACGCTCACGGCACCAAAGTGGGCAAAGGACCAGCCGCCTGAAGGTGGGAAGATGGAGAATTCTTCATCGTTTTGATGAGAAACGATCTCTTAATAATGGGTATTGCAAATAGTGGTTATATAATGGGTTATTTAACCACCATTATAATGATAGTTGTAATGGGTTATCTAACCACCATTAATTATGATAGTTATATGAATTTTGATAGTTTTGATGTTAGTAAATAGTAAATTGTCATGGAAATTGGCTATACTGAGTTGTGTATTCTTGATGGTCTGATGTTGCGATGGTTAATCATCATGACTCTAGGACATGTCTCTATATGATATTTGGGCATCCTGAGATCGTCCGATTTCCTGAGACAATTCTTTCTTCTTGCAAGACGTACCAATGCCTTCCAATGTCATGCAAAGTCTGGTTGAACTGATTGAAGGCAGGAAAAAAACGACAACTGTTCCACATGGTTTGCATCCGAAAAATTCAAAAACCATCACCGCCAGGGCCTGAACCCAGCATTTTTGTGGTTTAGATTTCCATTGAACCAACAGTTGGGTGGTGTTCAAATCCTCCTCCCATTCCCATTCGTGCTGATCATCCCCAATGAATTCCCGCACCTGCAGCCAAAACTGCCAGCAACGATGCTCCTTTCCGGCCCATGGGCCTCGTGACGTTTCGCCAAGTTTCGCCAAGGCTGGGTGAAAACCTTGAACAACTGGGACTTTGAATGGGAAAATCTATGAACATATCATGGGGATTAATAGTAATAATGGGGATGGATGGGATTTTTTTTTTAATGGATAATGGGAAAATCATGAATACAATAAAATTGGATAGAATAGGATATATAATAAATATATTAACCAACAGTATGACCAATATGGGTATGTGAAAATGGGATTTTTGCCATCAAACATGGCAATCTGGGAAGATGATAAACTCATGAATTTAGGATATCCTACTTTAAGACAAAACAACGTTTGGAAGAACTTATATAGTTTTTGTGAAACGTGGCCATATAAATTTTCCAAATGGAGTCCCGTAAACATCACCTTAATCCAACACAGGAAAATAACGATCTTTGAATGACTAATAGATTATCCTGTGCATCGCCGGTCGGGGTGATGAATTTAAAGAATCAAATTGCTGGCCTTCAAGCAGACCAGTGCCAGTGGCACTGAGCGGGTTTGAGCCGCTGGAACTCATAAATGTCATCCACATGAAGCGTATCAACAATCGGAACAACAGAAATACAGCTGGATTCTGATTTGCACAATCTGATCGGCTGATCCAAACCTATCTGGTGAAATGCTCGGTGTTTTTTTTTCCCGCCCTGCCCCCCCCCCATTCTAACTTCCGCATTCATTGTGGGTTGAAGCATCCAGACATGACAAAACCAACTTGAAAGTCAAACCACCCAGCTACACATGGGTTTGGATGAGGATTTTCGTTTGAAAATGGCAAGTTTCGAATTCAATGTCACTTTCCAAGGGGGATTGCCCTCAGGCAATCTTACCCAGCAGCTGGCATGCGGATGTTGACCCTTCACATTTGGCACCCTGTGATACTACGGCTTTGATCCTCATAGTTACAGGTTTGATTGCCATGGGATGATTTTCCAAAATCCCATGGAAAAAATGGGAAGTACTAGGTTTCTTGATCATTGTTCTCAGCGTCTTGGGAGGTTCAATTTCCCCATTGTCAATGGGCTGTTTTCCCCAGTAATTGCAGGGGTTCCCCGCAAGTTTTCCCTTCATCTAATTCTGAGATGTTTCTTGTTGGATTTATCACATCATTGGTGAAATCACAGCTCTCTATGGGGAGCCTCCCATTTCCAATTGCTCTCATCATCATCATCACCACCACCACCAGCATCATCATCATCATCATCAGCATCATCATCACCATCATCATCATCATCACCACCACCACCAGCATCATCATCATCATCATCATCATCATCATCACCATCATCATCATCATCATCATCACCATCACCATCATCATCATCATCACCATCATCATCATCATCATCACCATCACCATCATCATCATCATCATCACCATCATCATCATCACCACCACCACCATCATCATCATCATCACCACCACCACCGCCACCACCACCACCACCATCACGATTCTTCCCATATATTCTTGTTGGCTTTGCCCTTTGCCACCATCATCATCATTTGGCCCATTTTCCTTCATGCGGCGGTCAGTCGCAGACCCCACGGCGTCACGTTCTGCTGGGGACGGCTGGCAGAGATGGCGGGAGCCAGCCGCTGTCGAACACGCAGGCGAGCCACGGCTAACCTGGGATGACATGGGAGGACCAACCAGGGAGATCATGGGGTATGCCCAAATGGAGATAGGATAGGTATCAAACATCTATAAAAATATATTTATTGGAGTTTAGTAAGAAAAATGGATTCTATGTGGCTTGTTGATTCACTTTGGAGATATATGGCAAACTCATTTATGACAGAAACATCTAAAGGCTGGAAACCATGTGGGATGGCCAGCTGGGCATATCCACGTTGAACACACGAAATTGTCGGGATGTAGCCTTGCAGAACTGCGATGGTTGATGGGACATAAGTGTTTTCCATAGTTTTTCCACCTATTTTGAGCCTTGTAGTGAATTATCCAATTCAAACATGGGACAAAAAATCTGACACAGCTCTGGTGGTCCTCCAAAGAAGCTGCAGATTTTTGAGAATTTCCCCTGGGCCTCCGGACCTTTGAGCCTTACCCTTGGAGCCCAAGACATTTCGCAGCTGTCGCTGAAGCACAAGGGCTGCAGCCACCTGTCTTGTTTCTGGCACATGATCCAGCAAAAATAGACATGTAAAGCAGAATTTTAACGTTTTTTCCTTCATTTTTGAGATTGCTGCAACTAAAAACGCTTCATTTCGGAATGGTAAACTTCCAAAGTTCTTCTTCCTATTCTCTCAAATCGATGGAGGTCTTCCTTGCTACCAACCTTCGGTTGCCCTTCACAAACTATCATGTCTGGCTGGCGGGATAGAATGTGTCCCCATTTGTGAGGGAAAAAACACCTATTTGACTTTGGTTTGCCCACAGCGCCTCCCAGGGTGGTGCAGGAGCACCTGATACTCGAGGGGCACCTTCTGCAGCACTTCTCGCCTTGCAGAATCCCGACGTTGGGATACCGTAAGTTACCCAAGTTTTGAACATCTGCAAATGGGAGAGAAAACCCATTGCTATGTTGAATTACGAGGTGGTTAAGCAATGTTAAGCAATGTTAAGCAATTTCCTCAGAAATCCAGGGGAAAATTCAGAGTTTCCGGTGAACAAATCGGTGCCTCAGCCTCATCTTCCAAGCTGAATGCCTTCAAGAAAGCATCCAAGGATGGAATCTCACCTGTCAGGTAAGGAGGGGGTCCGAATAGGCTTCCCACGTCCTATTCCTTCAGTAAAAATGTTCCCTCCCCAAAAATGTAGATGGAAATTCCGTGCCAAAAAACTGGTGACTTTGTATTTGCCAAGTTAGATTGGAGGATGAACTGAGTCTTTTGCTGGAAACCAAGGAGCTGAAGTAAAACTAGTAGAGAAAAAAACAACTGCATTAGCAGCTGCAAAAGCTGGTAATGCAACTTATGATTCCCTCTGTAATGCCTTGAAGTCCTCTGAATCAAGATTCGGCCCAAGCATCAATAAGACACACATCAGACATCAAACATTTTCCAAGTGAGTCGGCTCCCGCAGATTCTGAGCATTCCATCCACATCCCACCTTCCTCCGGAAGCTCAGCATCCTGGCGACAAGGTGAACAGTTGGTACACCGACTTGACTGTGTAAATTCTGATCTAAAATATATCAATCTGATAAAAACCCCGGCTTATTTAACATATGGAAACCATTTTTGCTAGAAATAGATGATTTTCGGATGATGATTTTCCATGATTTTCCTATGAAAACTGCGTGATTTTCCAGTTCGCGACACATTTTTCCCATGTTTCGCCAGGTTCGCCACCTGCGGTGGTCGTTGTCGATGTCGCCGCAGCAGCGGCAGCAGGATGGAAATCAATCGGGCTCCCAGAACCCGGGCCTTGGCGGTTGTGATAAAACCATGGTCCCAAAAAACAATACCTTCTGGTCATTTAGTTCATGAATTTTCCCATGAAAAATGGTGGATCTTTCCATAGTTATGTTAAATTACCAGCGGGTAACTGGCAGTTGGAAAAATCATTCCTAGATTTTACTTTGAAAGTGAATTTGTGAAAGACAGTAGTAACTCAGTAGTACTGAACATTTTTGGGTTTCCCACATTTTCGTAGAATGGCCATAGCACTCCCATTTTGCTTGGAAAATCACGGGACGGGCTCTGAGAAGCCAACACCCTTGGGCGAAAGTAAACCACCATCCCAAAAGCCAGCTGCAACGGACCTGGCGTGGAGCTACCTTTTTCAGCGTGCCTGAAAAAACCGTCTTACGGTAAATCAAACATAGCCATGGAACATCATCCGATTTATAGATTATGTTCCTCTTAAAAACCATTCGAAACATTCATTTGGTTCGGGGGTTTTCTAGCTAGCCACCTTTGATTACCAAAGGGTTCCCCCTGCAAATCTAACGTAGCCAGGGAAAATCCTCGTTTTGACTAGGTCAATGACATTTATAATGGGCCATGGCTTCGCAAACTCTCAAATCACCGTGGATTTTCCAATCTTTTCCTATGGGATTTTCCAATATATTTCTCACTTTTCCCATCAAAAGCCTCCATTTTTCAAAAAAAAACACAGTTTTCCTATGGCATCCCGCCTGGGTCCCCATGGCAACGAGGAGGCACCGATCCATAGGGGATCGTGGCATGCCAGCCATGATGCCAAGTGTTTGTTGGTCTCGTGGCGCCTGCGGTGATGATTTTTTCAGGGGTTTCAATGGGGATAGATATGTCATGTCATATCATATATATGGTCCCGTCCTCCGTCTCTCCACCCCCCCCCCCATGGGTTGGGTCCCCAGGTAGCAGCCCCCCTTCCCTTCTATTTGCAAGCTATTGGCAGCATTTCTGAGGTCCAGCTTCGTATTTGCTAGGTCTTTGCAGTATTTCTGACTACCAGCCTCGCATTTACTAGCTACATGCTACCTTTTAGGCGACCTACGTAGCACATATACTCCTTGAAAGTACCTACGTGCTACCTATAGTCATATATACATGTGCTATGTATCTACTGTATCTACTTCCTATTTACTACCTGTGTACTCTCACAACACCACCTGTGTTTAACATATACCGTACCGAACAATCAATCAATGATGCCATGCATACCATACCTATCATACCTATCATACCATACCTATCATATCTATCATACACACCATACATACCATACATATGAAATGTAATTACCACACCTACGATACATACAATAGCAAACATACATGCCATACATACCATACATACCTTACATAGGAAATATGCCATACCATCATAGTAATCATACATACCATACAGACCATACATACTGTCATATCAAACATACCATACCCAACAGACTTACATACCATACCTACCATCCATACAATACCAACCACTCATGCCATACATACCATACCTACCAAACATACCATACTTTCCAAACATGCCATACCAGACCGACCATACACACCATACATACCCAACATACCATACCACACCCCCACCACACCACAGGGGGGGGAGGGGGACAGCGCCACACCGCCACCACACCACAGGGGGGGAGGGGGAAGATCTCATATGGGGCCAGTATATGGGACCCATCCCATGGGGGGTGGGGGGAGGGGGGGGGTGGCAGGGCCTGGTGCATATATATATATCATATATATCTGGTTGGTGGTTTGAACCCCCCTGAAAAATATGATGATTCCATATTTCATAGGGAAAATGACTATATCGACTATATCCCCAAATTGGTTTTTCCACATTAATGGGATATAATTGATTAATGAACCATCATGAATGGGATTACGTGTATACCAAATGTGGTTTACCATCATTAATGAACATTTGGTATACGCTCTGGTTATTTTACATAGCCATGGTATAGATGGCCCATAGAAATAGATGGTTTACCGTTTCAAAAAATGGTGATTTTCCATGGCTATGTTAAATAACCAGATGGTATATATATATATACATACATACATACATATATTATAACATAAAGTGCATCTAATTAGCAATATGTATGTAAGATATTATTGTATGGATAACTGTAACTTTGGAATTGCAATGGGATATTTTTGAGGATACATTTAGATACATGGGGTTTATGACAATAACTGCGGACATTCCTATGTAATGGCGATATGATATACAACATAATCAAATCAGAAATTGGAATATGCTTTATGGAATTACGCATTTTAATGCATTTAAAATCTGAACAAGGGTATCATAGGACCCATCACGAAAAAAACATCTAAGCTCAAGTGAAAGATTTTCAAGTAGACTGCGGGACAGGGACAGGTTACTTTGTATGGTCCTCCAAAGGGGTAGATTCAACACACACTTGGGGATATCATGAAGTTTCGAATGTCTAGGATATATATATATATATCTATTTTGGATATTGGGATTATAAGGGTACAGCAAATGGAATGACAGTGGTGTATAGGCATGCAGGGAAACAATCCATATAATCTTGGATGTTGGTGGGTCACAGCAAAGACCTGCAGGTCAGTTAAAAGAGGGAAACTTGTTGATTGCTATGGTGGATCATCAATCTCTGCTTCACCGGTAAACTTCTTGCTGGACTCCTGGTTGGAGTTGCAATAAAATGCAATAAACATGCTGCAAACGAACAAGTTTTGGTATGAACTTTAATAGTCAAACCGTCCCATCTTTGGCGCTCTCTCCCCCAATTTTTGCTGGTTCACGTCCTGCTTGGCTCTTGATTTTCTAAGAAAGGTGATGAACCCAAGAATAACAACACCTACTGTTGCTATATCTTTTTTTCCCTCACTTTAACCCTTATCATGTTCCTTTTGGTGAGAATGCCGACCGTGGAGGAAGAACCCCGGGACCCCTGGTGTATGAATTTGGGGGGCCCCAAAAATGTGATACTTTAATTCTGAGGTTGTATACGGTACCCTTAAATATGAGTCACAGCTGAAACTACGGTCACATTATATGATCCTGGGTTGCAATTACCCACTTACTGTAAAACCCATTTCCATCCCTCAAAATCATTCATTAGCTAAGCCTCTATGATTCATGGTTTCATTGTTGAATCCCGATTCTCTCATCCGGTAAACTTCTTAGCAGCAGTAATGGTTTGGTTTCAATCTCTGGGTCTGGGACTGATGCATCACAGATGCACGAGACTCAAAAGAGACTCAAAACGCGAATGGAACCGAAACTGAAAGCCTTACTGTTGGAATACCAAGCTGGGTATTCCTCCTATCCTCCTTTTGGTATGGTTCCCTTTGCCAACCCATATCCGCCATATCCCACTACCAGTCCCGGTTCGTCTTGATCCCCATGCGTTTGACCCCCCAAAAAACAGATTGGGCAGCACAGTATATCTTAGTATAACTGATAGCCAATCAACCTCCATAAGCATTAGACTGTCAGCAAACATGGCTGGAAACGTTGAGTTTCCCAGCCACAGGACCTATCCGACCTCCATCAAACATGGCTGGACAATCCCTGAACTAAATATGGAGGTTTCGGGACACTTCCCTATGGAGAATTTTCCATTGCCATGTTTGATTGGAGGGTGCCCCAGTTCGGAATCGCTAAGTTGGGGGCCACAGAACTCCAATTTCACTATGGTTTATGGTAGATATATCTATACCCATCTATACATCCTATGGTTTATAAACCAACGTTCACATCACTGGGGGGGCACAACCACCTTTCGTGGGGATATTCCCTTACATAGCCCTTTTATATGGTACCTCCAGTTGTTCCTGAAATGGCCATTGATTGGAGAATCCCCACCATCCTACAGTGCACCTTTGCGTCAGCCCACGGCCCAGCATGGAGGACTCTTCCGCTCTGCGCCCGGCGTCGGGCACCGCCATGGCAGCTACCAAGGTATCTGGACGCGCCTGCGGTGATCTGACGTAGTTTGGCGTAAATGGTAGGGGTTGTTTAATGCCGTTGAATGGGATTTTCGGTGTTTTGGGGTTAGGTGATCCCATCAAGTTGGGATTTTCTTGGGTACCATTTGGATGATCAAAACAAAGTGGGTTTTGATGGGTTTAAATGATCCAAAGGGGAGATTTAAGATGATCTTAACCATACAGGAACGATGCAAGACCATTGGATTTCGCAGGGGTGGCATGGGTCATTTCCAGTACCCTCGGGACATCCATTTGCACCACTTTTTTGATGGCTCATCATTTGGCCCAATTTTGGAGGTATTCCATGGTAACCATTTTCAGACCTACTTAAGCTGCAACACCCTGCTCTCTATGGGGATTCCTAGTTGGCATCATGGATCCTAAAACAAAATAACAGGTTGGCACATAGAAATCACCTACCAATCATCATTTATCATTGATATCCCCATATGTGTCATGATTAAACACCCGAAAAAATCACGGTCAAACCCATATTTGCTGGTTAAACACCCTATAAATATATATAAATATCTATAAAACAAGGTTAAATCCCCCATGCAAAAAACATCATATGGGTGTCGACCGCAATAAAAACGTCCTCATTGCCTTGCAACTGCTCAGCAGTTGCTGTAGCTGCAAGGCCACATCCGAGGCAGCATTGTGCATGCTGAGGTCGTGGCCTCGGGTGGCGTATGCAAGCCCTGAGAAAAGCTGGCAAAATGATGAGTAAACATCTATCGAACATAGGTTAAAGTCTTGATAATTTCTGGTGAAATGACTCACACAAGTGGTTTTGAGCTACAAAATTGGGGGCTAAGCCTCGGAAACAGCGACCATTTTGGCTTCTAGGGGCACGAAATCACAATGCCGGGGAGTCTTTGAATGAAGAACTGACCCTTCTGTTGCAGGTTCTGACCTGCAAAATGGGTCATTTGGGTTCCAGATCAAGAAAACATCCCAAAATCCTCTGCCATTCTCCAGTTCATCATCTCCAACCTACAGCATCAACGCCACCGAGCCACCGCCTGCCACGATGAGAAGAAGGTCAGGTCTGGCTTGCCTTCGGAGGGGTGAAAACTGGGCTAATTTGGCCACTGATATGCCAACCTCTGGTAATGAAAAACAGTTTGCTAGTTTTCAAATGACAGCCATGGCACCGTTGGAATTCCGCCAGGTTGGGCCCGCAGCGACCGCGCACATCGCGCAGCGTGGGCTCATCCTTCATCAGTGACGCCTAGTTTTTCTGGAGATGGGAGCAGCCCATCCCCAATTTTTTTTCACAGAAAAGCTTCCATATATGGATTTAATTGGATTTGTATGGCATGAATAGATTCAATACTCAACTATGGGTTCTGAGGGGCATTGCATATTCCGGGGTAGGGATTGTATGAAGAATTGCAGTTGGATGTCATCATTAAGCAACCTTGGAATTATGTTGGGTATGAAGCTAGACAACCTTTGAATTCTTGAAAGGTCAATCCCCTTTCAAATGTCCGGCGTTCCTTTCTCATCAAAATCTCCCGGTCCATGGAGGGCCCTCTTACAGCAGGATAGAAATGTACCAATGGGAAGAACTACATGCTGTAAAGACCAAAGAACACCCGCAACTCGGACATCTTCGGTTCTTAGGATTGAGCGCCGCAAATTTGGACAGCCATGTTTTTTTCTCATTTTGCGGCAAGTGTTGGGCTCTGACATTGCAATCTTGGCCAAGCTCCGAATCAAGGATTCGGGGTAGATTCGTGGAGGGAACATGAAAGAAACTTCACAATTCATCCAAGAGTCGGTGCTCAGGCCGCAGTACAAGCATACAAAGACCTGGCAAAAGGCTGCTAGAGGCTGGTGATGGAACAGAGGGTGCTTGAATGCCAAATCACCAGCCAGTCATATATTCAATGTTGTTGGCTATATCGGCTATATCGGCTATATCGGAGTTGTTGGTGATACGCCATTTCCATCCACATTCATGTTCTTACACCTGCACGTACACCGCATCTTTGAAGCCCATCCCAACCATCCACGTAGAAAAGCGCCTCCCCGACCAGCCCCGAAATCGCCAAAGCTTCGCAAAGCCCCAGGGCTAGAGCATTGTTGCCATGGGCAGCCACCAAACCCTCACCTCAAGGAAATCTGGAAATCCACCTGGAAAGTATGCAACATGGCAACCTTGGTTTCAGTTTTCGACAGTAGATTTTGATTGCCTTGAAACAAATCTCGGGGGAATGAACTATTGCATTCCGCAAGAACCCAAAGAACTGGGCAGAATTGTGGGGCAGAGACGGATCTGCTACAAACGCAGTTTGTGTGAAGTCCCACGCAGTAGCTCACGTTTCGACTTCATCTCCTAAATCTTTACAATCCTCGCCCAATCCATTTTTCCCATATGATAAATACCAATTAGACCCAACCATTTTCTGGATAGATCCTTCGCATCATCCACATTTTTGGAGATTGACACTACCAAGGTTTCTTCTTAAAATTCACATGCCGGATTGGTTCCAAATTTTGCTTCAACAATTTCCTTTCCCATCTTTAGGGGTAACACATAGCTCAAACACATCAGCTTTTGGTAGCTCAAAGCTCCGCCCAGTTCCCCGGTGGAGTCACCGTGGTTTTTCCCCCGAGCCGAGGCTCCCGGCCGAAGACGCCCAGCCGCAGGCAGCTCGTCGACGTCAACGACGTGGGCGTCACGGCGTGCGCCAGCGCTGAGGCATAGGCGTCGGCGGAGCGGCGGAGGCCTGGGAGATGGTCAGGCGGCAGAGGCAGAACGATAGGAAGCGATAGGATATTAATAATGATTAGTATCAACTATTAATAAACTATTATTAATATCCTATCAACTATTATTAATCAACTATTAATTGATGATTAGTGGATTAAGAATGAATAGTGAAGTGAAACTATAAAAGTTGAAACTTTAATCATATAGTTAGATAGTACTATATCAGTTGATAGATTACTATAATGGACAACTCGGACAAATCTATAATGGAAATATTACAGTAACCTCTGATAATCCATTAAATTCGATTATATCCCATGCGATTGTAAATGATAAGTATTTATAGTGTAGATATTCCGGTAATCTATTATCCATGTATCCATTGCAAATACATAGTTGCTTACAATAATACTACCCATTGGGATGTAGTAGATAGTACTTTAAATTTGTAGTAACCCACCATGAACTAAGCTGGTTATACTGGGGATATAATGGAGTATATTTCTGCAATGATATGATGGGATCTAATATCTAATGGAAGTATATCTATATATATATGTACACATATCCATACGTATTAACCTCCAGAAAAATTAGCAAAGCTTCAATTGATCACACTTTTTCCGAATCGGCTTTTACACAATTTCTACGTTTCTTGGGGGTTCGACGAAAAAAAGCCATGGAGATCTGAGATCAATATCAGCCAAACAGGAGTTGGACACCAATGATGGGGGAAACATCATCGAAGTACCGTTCTGGTTTGGTTTTTGGCATCTGGGGGTTGCGACCGTGGCGATTTCACCCTCGGGATATGAAAATCCCAGGGATGGACATAAAAAGATCTTCGAAACTAGGAGTGTTTGCTTGAAACGGGAGATAACTGAGATAACTATATCACAATGTGAAGGTCTAGAGAGTGCTCATCAACATGTTCACCTTCAAATTTGAGTTCTTTTTTCCAAAAAACTTGAACTTTGTCAATACACCATATTCGATGGGTCTCGGTAGTCAGCACAAAAAACCCGCTGATCAGCTCTCGCTCCAAGTCGCTGCATTTGATATCTGGGCTCATCTGATGAAACACCGGTGATAGAAACACAGTTGGATATCGTTGGATCCTGGCAAGAAATTTCATCAAAAGACAGGGTTTAATAAGTTCATTGATTTCACAGATGTTCACATCGGCTCTTTAGACAGTTGGAAAATCAATGTGGAATGTGGCCATGCAAAACTGTTCTGTGGTGATGTTGGCCGGAAGCTGCTGCAATTATTGAAGCTGTTCCAAGGTATGAAGTGCTGTGCTGACCTGCAACCTTTGAGCCATTTGAGTGCCAAGTGACTGGGCTTATGAAGATTTGTTTAAATGGATCATCCAACAAAAAAAAGGGTCCCATGTCACCCCCATCTGTATCTATACCATCTGTCGCATCTCTACCTGGAATTGATATGAATTGATGATCTCAGAGCTCCATCGACAAGAAAACTGCTGGCTCTTTTAGACATTGCGGCAGCGGTTTCCGCCAATAGCAGGGTCTTTGCCTTGCAAGCATTGCCGACTTGACTTGGAAATCTGAAGGTTGGAGGGGTCGAACTGGGTCTTTTTATTCTGGGACCCTTGAATGAACACCGATATTTACAGAAACTGTGGGTGCTGAGGTGGTTGGCAAGCCAACTGTCACTGTCTTCCATCCGTTTCTGGGGATGTCAACGCCAGGGCTGCCGTCCTTTTTCCTGCGGTTTCCGCGAGGATCCTTCGATCGCCGAGCGAAGAACTACTTCCAGCAGATGTCCATGGGCCATCGCGACCTGGCAGTATCCAAAGTCACTCCGGCCAAACCATGGCAGAGAAATTGAAAAAATCCAATCCTCTTAACATTAAGTGTAACCTTTTATACCCCAAAGGGCTGAAAAATGAACTCAATCACCAAATCTTGCCTCTTCAGCACGTCTTGCCATTGGAGGCTTCCAAATGGCCTATCTTTCTGCACCGCCTGGAATTGGGCCATGTGGCCCAGCTAGCTGCCAAAACTGAAAGTGGACCTCCAAAAATTCCAAAATCAGCTGAGAACATGGATCAAAAATGGTCAACATATCATATCCGGCACTGCTGTGAGATCCATTAGCATCGCATGAACCAGAAACCAGGGTTTCGCTACTGGTTTTGCACCTTCCAGGCGATGAATGGTGTCTTGAAGCTCACGGATGGCAGAGTCTTGAGGATCCAGAGCCCATGCCTTATGGGTCTGTCTGATGGTATGGTATGTCCCTTAATGACACCAAATAATTGGGGGAGCATGATGATTCAGTGGGATTTTTGGGTCCCATTTTGAGACATGGTTTTCTATTGAGACAGCCATCGTGGGGTCACTATAGCTGAAACAAAAAAACTCCAAGCGGCTCTCATGGCGCTCTCCCATGCTCCAGCTAAATCTGAGAGCTCCTTGTGGGCCATCGAGACATAACCACAGTTGATGGATAAAAAACATCCCGGCGGATGGGAAACCGCGCGAGCGTTTTGATTGTTTGCTTCCAGGAGAGTCACAATCACCTGTAATTTACAATATAAAATGCTCTTCCGAACTCTTTGGATAACTGAATTTTGGTTAAAAAAAGTGGATGCAAAATCTATTGATTTTTGACAAATCCAGGTAAACATCGTGTGCATCAGACGTGGGTGCTCAGATTTTTTTTAACACTCTTCGTCGGCTCAGCGATCCATCAGTGTGGAAGCTGTCTTCGACAGCAAGTTGCCATTATGGCACTCATAACGCCACTGCCAGCAACGCAGGTATAGCATGACATCTCAGCAGCGTAGCAACATGTCACGTAGTAAGCGATCCCAGAGATCTTAGCAACATGGCAATATATCATGTACGAAGTACAAGGAACTTTAGCATGCCCCCCCACCCCACCCAACCCCAACCATAACCCACACCAGAGATCTCAGCAGCGTAGCAACATGTCACGTAGTAAGCGATCCCAGAGATCTTAGCAACATGGCAATATATCATGTACGAAGTACAAGGAACGTTAACATGCCCCCCCACCCCACCCCACCCCAACCCCAACCCACACTAGAGATCTCAGCAGCGTAGCAACATGTCACGTAGTAAGCGATCCCAGAGATCTTAGCAACATGGCAATATATCCTGTACGAAGTACAAGGAACGTTAACATGCCCCCCACCCGACCCCACCCCAACCCCAAGACAAAGAGCAATACTAAAAAAAACAAAACGCACGTACGGTTTTCCAGCCGTAGGCAAAAACATGGGGCTTTAAATATGGCTTAGATATCGTTAGATAGTACTGTATCGGTCAATCGATTACTATAATGAATAAATCGAATACATCTATTATGGAAACTTAAATATGGTTTAGTCGAATTTCGTGGGGTATAACTGGTGGTTTGATGGTGACTTACCGGTAATCGGGGACTCCCGGATGTCGGGTGAATGGTTTCTCGACCTTGGGGGCAGTGCCCGCAATCGCTGGTGGCATACTACCCATGGACGTCATGCATGAAATCCATTCGGGTCTCACCTGGTCCAGATTGCACTCACAATGCTCCTTATCAAACCATAGGCATGATCCATTGTGGAATATGATGTGGGTGCAGAATTGTTTTTGGTATTTTTTTTTTACAGTTTTGGATTTTTTTTTGGGGTTCGTGCCTCTTCAATTTTTCCATGGTTTTCTTCAATTTTTCCATGGTTTTCTTCAATGTTTCCATAGTTTTCTTCAATTGTTCCATGGTTTTCTTCAATTTTCCATGGTTTTCTTCAATTTTCCATTGTTTTCTGCAAGTTTTCCATGGTGTTCTTCAATTTTTCCATTGGTTTCTTCATTTTTTCCCGGGTTTTCTTCAATTTTTCCATGGTTTTCCAATCGTTTTCTGCAAGTTTTCCATGGTTTTCTTCAATTTTTCCATAGTGTTCTTCAATTGTTCCATGGTTTTCTTCAATTTTCCATCGTTTTCTGCAAGGTTTCTTTGGTTTTCTTCAATCAATCAATCTATATATATATATATATATGTATGTGTGTATGTATGTATGTATGTACGTAGGTAGGTAGGTAGGTACGTAGGTATGTATGCATGCATGCATGTATGTATGTATATGCAGGGTGTGGTTTAGGGTTTAGGGATACAACATGTAATTAGGTATAATTACATGATTATTTGTTGTTTATGTTGGGATCAAAGTTGTGTATAAAAACAACCACAAATATGTCATATATATATGTATACGTCTGTATATCTATAAGTAAATATGTATGTGTATTTATAATATATATATATACTTATAGTTATATAATTATATAAATATATATACATTGATATGTATATACATATTAATATGTATGTATATATATACATTTATATAAGTACATTAATATATATATATAAATATAAGTGTATATATAAATGCAAATATATACATATACATATATATATATGTATACGTGTGTCTATATATATATGTCTAGATATATATATATATAATTTTTAACAAAATATTAATATAGTCGAATCAAACAAGTGTATTGAAAAGTGTGCAAGTTTGAATTTAAATAATTAAAAAAAGCGGGAGGGGGGGGATTGGGGGGAGGGCGCAGCGCCTCCCCGCCAAAGCAGATTGGAAACACCTATTTTACATGCAAGGTGCTGGGTTGAATGTGATACTCAAGGTGTATAGACTACACGACATGCACCCTGGAAACATGTGGAATACAGTACATATACTTATAGATACATACTTCTTTATATATATATATATACATTTATATGATTTATATGTATATACATATGAATGTATATATATAGGTACATAAATATATATTTATATGTAAATAGAAATATATAAAAATATATATAAATATAAATAAAAATATATAAAATATCAATATGAATATGTAAATATAAATATATCAATATAATATATATTTAAGTGTATATATACATGCATAAATATAAATATATAAATATATTTACATATATATATATATGTATATATATATATAAATATGTAAATATATATATATGTAAATATATATATATATGTAAATATATATATATAATGTGGCAGGGACCTTTTGGTATAATGCGACCGTCCTCCTTTCTGATCCCATTTGTTTCCATACTTGTCTCCTTGTCTGTTCCCAACTTGTCTCCTTATTTCTCTATCTCCATTGCGATTCTTCTCTCTGGGTGCTTTCGGTCAAAGGAATCTCCCCTTGTCTCCCGTTCCTCACTTCTCTCTCCATTGCTCAGTGTTCTTCGTTCTGGTGGCTTTGGGACAGGACTCAAGTCCCATCTGTTTTCGTACTCGTCTCTCTACTTCACTCTCACATGTGGCTGTTCTCTCTGGGTGCTTCCGGGGCACAGTATGCTCCTTGTCCTCTGTCTGTCTATGTGCTTGTCCCCCTTGTTCTCTCCAACTCATGCCCTTACTTCTCTCTCTCTTGCTGTTCTTCTCTCTAGGTGCTTATTTGGACACATGATTCTCTCCGGTTCCTCACTTGCCCTTTCTTGTTCCCTCCAACGTGTATCCTTAATCCCCTCCCCATTGCTGCTGCTGGGGGAAGAATGGATTTCCTGGCCTCTTGTGTTTCTCCCTGCCTTTTTTCCTTTGTTCAGGTCACATTCCCTTACCCTCAGTCTCTACCACGTGTTACCCTACTTACCTTCCTACTTGTCTCCAACTTGTCTCCTTATCCTCTCTCCACTACCGTGCTTCTTTCCAGGTCTCCGGCATTTGGGACGGAGAGGATAGTTTTTCTCCTCTTTCCTTTCTTTCCTTCCTTGTCCCTGTAGTCTTTCCCAGCGCTTTCTTCACTTCTCTCCTCATTCCTGTTGTTCTCGCTTTTGGGACCCAAGATTTCCCTTGTCTCCCATGTGTTCCCATCTGTGTCCTTATTTAGCCAATTTTTTCCTACTTGCTGTTTTGTCTAGGCTTTAGGACCTCTTCATTTCTTTTTGTCCCTCCCTGTTACTGTTCTTCTTCCTGGGTGCTTCTGGGCACAGGATACTCTTCGTGGTGCTCGATGGCAAAGGATTCTTCTTGCCTCCCATTTGTTTCCATACTTGTCTCCTTGTCTGTTCCCAACTTGTCTCCTTACTTCTCTATCTCCATTGCGATTCTTCTCTCTGGGTGCTTTCGGTCAAAGGAATCTCCTTGTCTCCCGTTCCTCACTTCTCTCTCCATTGCTCAGTGTTCTTCGTTCTGGTGGCTTTGGGACAGGACTCAAGTCCCATCTGTTTTCGTACTCGTCTCTCTACTTCACTCTCACATGTGGCTGTTCTCTCTGGGTGCTTCCGGGGCACAGTATGCTCCTTGTCCTCTGTCTGTCTCCGTGCTTGTCCCCCTTGTTCTCTCCAACTCGTGCCCTTACTTCTCTCTCTCTCTCTCTCTCTCTCTTGCTGTTCTTCTCTCTAGGTGCTTATTTGGACACATGATTCTCTCTGGTTCCTCACTTGTCCTCCCTTGTCCTCCCTTGTCCTCCCTTGTTCCCTCCAACGTGTATCCTTAATTCCCTCCTCATTGCTGCTGCTGCTTGGAGAAGAATGGATTTCCTGGCCTCTTGTGTTTCTCCTTAACTTTTCTTCCTTTGTTCAGGTCACATTCCCTCACCCTCGGTCTCTACCACATGTTACCCTACTTACCTTCCTACTTGTCTCCAACTTGTCTCCTTATTCTCTCTCCACTACCGCGCTTCTTTCCAGGTCTCCGGCATTTGGGAGGGAGAGGATAGTTTTTCTCCTCTTTCCTTTCTTTCCTTCCTTGTCCCTGTAGTCTTTCCCAGCGGTTTCTTCACTTCTCTCCTCATTCCTGTTGTTCTCGCTTTTGGGACCCAAGATTCCCCTTGTCTCCCATGTGTTCCCATCTGTGTCCTTATTCAGCCAATTTTTTCCTACTTGCTGTGTGGTCTGGGCTTTAGGACCTTCAGGTGGTTTTGGGGGCCATAAACATTACCGAGTCCCTCATTCGTGTCCCTTCCGTCACCGCCTTCTTGCAGTCTCCTCTCTTCATTTCTTTTTGTCCCTCACTGTTACTGTTCTTCTTCCTGGGTGCTTCTGGGCACAGGATACTCTTCGTGGTGCTCGATGGCAAAGGATTCTTCTTGCCTCCCATTTGTTTCCATACTTGTCTCCTTGTCTGTTCCCAACTTGTCTCCTTACTTCTCTATCTCCATTGCGATTCTTCTCTCTGGGTGCTTCGGTCAAAGGAATCTCCTTGTCTCCCGTTCCTCACTTCTCTCTCCATTGCTCAGTGTTCTTCGTTCTGGTGGCTTTGGGGACAGGACTCAAGTCCCATCTGTTTTCGTACTCGTCTCTCTACTTCACTCTCACATGTGGCTGTTCTCTCTGGGTGCTTCCGGGGCACAGTATGCTCCTTGTCCTCTGTCTGTCTCCGTGCTTGTCCCCCTTGTTCTCTCCAACTCGTGCCCTTACTTCTCTCTCTCTCTTTCTCTCTCTCTCTCTTGCTGTTCTTCTCTCTAGGTGCTTATTTGGACACATGATTCTCTCTGGTTCCTCACTTGTCCTCCCTTGTCCTCCCTTGTTCCCTCCAACGTGTATCCTTAATTCCCTCCTCATTGCTGCGGCTGCTTGGGAAAGAACGGATTTCCTGGCCTCTTGTGTTTCTCCTTAACTTTTCTTCCTTTGTTCAGGTCACATTCCCTTACCCTCGGTCTCTACCACATGTTACCCTACTTACCTTCCTACGTGTCTCCAACTTGTCTCCGTATTCTCTCTCCACTACCGTGCTTCTTTCCAGGTCTCCGGCATTTGGGAGGGAGAGGATAGTTTTTCTCCTCTTTCCTTTCTTTCCTTCCTTGTCCCTGTGGTCTTTCCCAGCGCTTTCTTCACTTCTCTCCTCATTCCTGTTGTTCTCGCTTTTGGGACCCAAGATTCCCCTTGTCTCCCATGTGTTCCCATCTGTGTCCTTCTTCAGCCAATTTTTTCCTACTTGCTGTTTTGTCTAGGCTTTAGGACCTCTTCATTTCTTTTTGTCCCTCCCTGTTACTGTTCTTCTTCCTGGGTGCTTCTGGGCACAGGATACTCTTCGTGGTGCTCGATGGCAAAGGATTCTTCTTGCCTCCCATTGGTTTCCATACTTGTCTCCTTGTCTGTTCCCAACTTGTCTCCTTACTTCTCTATCTCCATTGCGATTCTTCTCTCTGGGTGCTTTCGGTCAAAGGAATCTGCTTGTCTCCCGTTCCTCACTTCTCTCTCCATTGCTCAGTGTTCTTCGTTCTGGTGGCTTTGGGGACAGGACTCAAGTCCCATCTGTTTTCGTACTCGTCTCTCTACTTCACTCTCATATGTGGCTGTTCTCTCTGGGTGCTTCCGGGGCACAGTATGCTCCTAGTCCTCTGTCTGTCTCCGTGCTTGTCCCCCTTGTTCTCTCCAACTCATGCCCTTACTTCTCTCTCTCTCTCTCTTGCTGTTCTTCTCTCTAGGTGCTTATTTGGACACATGATTCTCTCCGGTTCCTCACTTGCCCTTTCTTGTTCCCTCCAACGTGTATCCTTAATTCCCTCCTCATTGCTGCTGCTGCTGCTTGGAGAAGAACGGATTTCCTGGCCTCTTGTGTTTCTCCTTAACTTTTCTTCCTTTGTTCAGGTCACATTCCCTTACCCTCGGTCTCTACCACATGTTACCCTACTTACCTTCCTACTTGTCTCCAACTTGTCTCCTTATTCTCTCTCCACTACCGCGCTTCTTTCCAGGTCTCCGGCATTTGGGAGGGAGAGGATAGTTTTTCTCCTCTTTCCTTTCTTTCCTTCCTTGTCCCTGTAGTCTTTCCCAGCGCTTTCTTCACTTCTCTCCTCATTCCTGTTGTTCTCGCTTTTGGGACCCAAGATTCCCCTTGTCTCCCATGTGTTCCCATCTGTGTCCTTATTCAGCCAGTTTTTTCCTACTTACTGTGTGGTCTAGGCTTTAGGACCTTCAGGTGCTTTGGGGCCATAATTGCAGTCTCCTCTCTTCATTTCTTTTTGTCCCTCCCTGTTACTGTTCTTCTTCCTGGGTGCTTCTGGGCACAGGATACTCTTCGTGACTCTTCGTGGTTGCTCGATGGCGAAGGATTCTTCTTGCCTCCCATTGGTTTCCATACTTGTCTCCTTGTCTGTTCCCAACTTGTCTCCTTATTTCTCTATCAAAAAAAAAAATGTATTCACTTTTTTTTTTGAATTTTTTGAATTCAAAAAAATCAAAAAATTCAAAAAAAAATGAAAGTCCCAAAAAGAAAGAAATGGAATTCAAAAAATTCAAAAAATTCAAAAAAAATATGTATTCATTTTTTTTTTGAATTTTTTGAATTTTTTGAATTCCATTTCTTTCTTTTTGGGACTTTCATTTTTTTTTTGATTTTTTTGAATTCAAAAAATTCAAAAAAAAAATATGCATTCACTTTTTTTTTGAATTTTTTGAATTTTTTGAATTCAAAAAATTCAAAAAAATCAAAAAAAATTATGTATTCACTTTTTTTTTGAATTTTTTGAATTCAAAAAAATATGTATTCACTTTTTTTTTGAATTTTTTGAATTTTTTGAATTCAAAAAATTCAAAAAAAAATGAAAGTCCCAAAAAGAAAGAAATGGAATTCAAAAAATTCAAAAAAATCAAAAAAAATTATGTATTCATTTTTTTTTGAATTTTTTGAATTCCATTTCTTTCTTTTTGGGACTTTCATTTTTTTTTTGAATTTTTTGAATTCAAAAAATTCAAAAAAAAATATGTATTCACTTTTTTTTTTTGAATTTGTTGAATTTTTTGAATTCAAAAAATTCAAAAAATTCAAAAAAAATTATGTATTCATTTTTTTTTTGAATTTTTTGAATTCAAAAAAAATTATGTATTCATTTTTTTTTTAATTTTTTGAATTCAAAAAATTCAAAAAAAATTATGTATTCACTTTTTTTTTTTTTAATTTTTTGAATTCAAAAAATTCAAAAAAAACTTTCATTTTTTTTTTGAATTCAAAAAATTCAAAAAAAATTATGTATTCATTTTTTTTTGAATTTTTTGAATTTTTTGAATTCAAAAAATTCAAAAAAAAATGAAAGTCCCAAAAAGAAAGAAATGGAATTCAAAAAATTCAAAAAATTCAAAAAAAAATATGTATTCATTTTTTTTGAATTTTTTGAATTTTTTGAATTCCATTTCTTTCTTTTTGGTATATAGATTAACTAGTAGGGATTCTCCAGAAAGAGGTATAATTTCAATAAAATCCTTTCGACATGCAAACGTTCAAATAGTACATAAAGGTCCATCGTACATATGTATATATATGTGTAAATATATATATGTATATATATATGTATATATATATGTAAATATATATATATGTAAATATATATATGTGTAAATATATAAATATATATATATATTTGAATTTGAACATAAATAGTAATAATATGTATATATAAAAAAAATAAATATAAGTAGAAAATATAAATAATATAAATATATCTAGATATAAATATACAAGTGTGTATATAAATGCATATATATATATACATATATATATGTAAATATATATATATTATGATTTTAATTGAAACATAAATATATATATATGAATATAGTCGATTCAAACTAGTGTATTGAAAAATGTGCAAGTTTGACATACTAAAAATACCACCAAAAGCCATGGAAAGCAAGCCAAAAGCCAAAAGCAAACAAGCAAAAAGCAAAAAAGCAAAAAAGGCAAAAATAACAAAAAGCAAAAAAAACAAAAAGCAAACAAGCAAAAAAGCTAAAAAAGCAAAAAAGCAAAAACACAAAAAATCAAAAAAAGCAAAAAGCAAAAAAGCACAAAAGCAAACAAGCAAAAAAGCAAACAAGCAAAAAAGCTAAAAAAGCAAAAAAGCAAAAACGCAAAAAATCAAAAAAAGCAAAAAGCAAAAAAGCACAAAAAAACAAAAAAGCACAAAAGCAAAAAAGCAAAAAAAAAGGAGAAAGCAAGATAAAACAAGAAACCCAAAAAAAATTCCCAAAACGTAAAAGAAAAAAAATCCAAAAAAAATAGGCCTCCATATCATGTTATCAATAAATAACCCAGTATTCTTATTGGCTTTCGTATGGTATTCATATACCATCATTACTAATATTTCTAGCACTATTACCCCTAACATCACATTGCTTACTATCAATATCCCATCATATCACATTATCATCTCAGTATTGTTACTATTGGCTATCGAGTATCCCATCAATATCCTATGATCATCCATTGGCCCTATTATGTTAATATCCTATTATAGAAATATCATGTGTTACTATTAGTTCCTATTAGCAATATAAAAAAATCGCATGATTAACATCCAAATTGGTGGTGAAGCTCTCCTTTTGGCAGATTGCCAGGCGGTAGAAGCCCTTTGTATAGCTGGCATCCACTTGCACCGCCCGCTGAGCGTCGCTAAGGGCCTCCTGGTACCTGGCGGCACCAAAATCGCCATTTCAAGTAGCTCAACTGGAGGTACCCATATATACCCTCTGGTCATTTAACATAGCCATGGGAAATGGCCCATTTATAGATGGTTTACCGTTCTTAAAAATGGTGATTTTCCATGGCTATGTAACAAATAACCAGAGGGCAAAATCTACGGGCTATGGGAGTTCACCACAACATATGGCCTATGGTGGGTCCTGAAATTCCCAATGCCCGAAGCCCACCTCTTCAGGCGCATCTGACACAGGCAACGGTTCCCCAAGAGCTCGGCCAGAAGGCGAGGGGACTGACCTGGAAGCCGATGCCAAGTCAATTGACCCAAAGTGAAAATAGCCGTGGACTGCCTTGGAGAAACTAAGGATCATCATCATCATCATCATCACCATCATCACCACCACCACCACCAGCATCACCATCATCATCATCATCATCACCACCATCATCACCACCACCACCACCACCAGCATCACCATCATCATCATCATCATCATCATCATCCTCATTCTCATCCTCATTCTCATCCAGTCATATTCCCCATGATATTCCTTAAATTCCCTATTTCTGAGGATTCATTGGTTGTTTTCCACCATCGGCCTGCATCCAGGATTTCGATGGCCTCGGAGTAAAGCTCCATGGCGCGCCTCAAAAAACACGATGCGGACCGGGAGCGGCGCAGCAAAGGACCGGCACCGTTAAAGTATGGTCCTTCAAGCTGAGCATATATGGTCAATTACTGGTTGGTGGTTGACCTACCCCTCTGCAAAATATGAAAGTCAGTTGGGATGATTATTCCCAATGTGGAAAAATAAAAAATGTTCCAAACCACCAAGGAGATTAGGGTTAGAACATCCAGGAAAAACTTCAGTTCAAATAGGAATGGTTAAAAGCTAGCATTTCTTGATCAGCCGGGTCTAAAGTAGTTCATAAACAGGGAACTGCGATGAAAACCTACTATGATGATGTCCAAAACCTGATGAAGTCCTACTATGATTACTTCGTGCCCTCAGATTTCACCTTAACCATCAACATCACAACATCACAACAGGCGCCCAACAGCGCCCCGTGCGAGCCTCAAATTTTGGGCCTTGACTTCCTGGTTGCCCTTCTCTTTCAGCTGCGCTGCTTCATCTGCCATGGCTTGATGCCATGGAGCAAAGGCGATGGCCCATGAATGATCGCAGCGAATCTGTTAGGCATTGCACACATGTATCTACCCTCTGGTTATGTCAAAATAGCTATTGAAAATGGCCATTTATAGTGAGTTTTCCCATTAAAAATGGTGATTTTCCATAGTTATGTTAGTTTACCAGAGGGTATCTATCTATCTATCTATCTATCTATATAACTATATATATATACATATGGAGAAGTGCATGAAGAACTATATAGATTGACAACTGACTATAGAATCATACAGGAGATTGATGTTGTATCTTGGCTACATCCTTTGGTTGGCACTCTGGCCAACTCTAGGTTTCAAGCTTCGTCTGCCAATGCTTCATGCAGTGCGCTCGCTTCAGAGCCACCATTGATGATGCCACATCCGTCGCTTTAAAACGATCGACCACGATTAAAACGCCATTCTCAGCTATGATTCTTTCTCAGCCATGTTTGAATCGACCATGTGTCAGGGACCTGTAGCAACCCCATCAACAGTCGACAGAAAGCAACGGTCGACCACAAAGATTTACCTGAACAAAAGTTGAATCACATCCCTCACAATGGTGCCACCTTTTCATGACTTCCCAGCCGCAACCATCTGGCAATTCAATACTGAAATTGTCCAGTTGGAAAATCAATGAATTTTCCCCCATGCCTAGGTCAGTTAGGTGTCAATAAGCAGCATGTACCGGTGCATGTTACTCACTTCAACTATCAATGATCATGTTTTAGCCATGTGCACATATTCTGCAAATGATTTTCCTGGAGGTTATATATGTCAACTTATGCGCTGATTAACATGGTTTTACCCATCAAAAACTTGTTTATCATTAATGATCCAATTTTATTCCACTATCATTAATCCTATTTAAGTCTCATTTATAGATGATTCATATCCCATGATTTTCAAAAATTACACCCATGATTTTCCCATCTCCAGAACTTTCCCATCTTGCCTGCAGAGCTCCTGCACGCAACGGCGGCAGAAGCAGCGGAAACCGTAACGTCTGGCCCGCTAGAGGGGTGGCTGTCGCGAGAGGGGCATGGGTAGTCCTTCAAGGCAAACCACTAAAAATAAATATATATATATATAGATATTATACACACATTTATATATATATATATATACATACATTATATACATATACATATACATATTTATTATCATGATTTATCATGTGTATTTTAAGTTGGTATACGAACACTCATTTTTCTTTTCATGTCACACATCTTGACTTGTGGGATCTCTGTCACACATTTCCACGTTTGGAAGGACATATCTTACCTGGTTGATGGTTTCAACTCATATCACCACACATATTAGTCAGTTGGGATCATCATCCTAAATAGGGGGAACATAACAAATATGAAGACTAACCAATCCATATCCAATCCATATCCTGGTCTTAGATGCATCCCCACTTTTTTGCTGGATAGCCTCCCTGTTTTCGTTATTTTTTAACCAGCACATGGTTCTCCGCTCTGGTGCAATGTAGCGCAGGCCTCTCAAGGCGACTGCGACGCACACGCAACGGCTTCGTCTCGTCGATGTAGCTAATGGTGAGTTCCTATACCCGGTACCCTCTGGTAAACATACAAAAAACTATGGAACATCACCATGTTTAATCGGAAAATCCACTATTTCTGTGGAAAATCACAATTTTTAATGGGAAAATCCACTATTTCTGTGGCCATTATCAATAGCTTTTTCTATGTTTACCAGAGGGTACTGCCGGAGCCATGTCATGTTCGACGCTGTTCTCGGTGGCTTGGCCGATTCCCAGCCTCCCCGGCATGAATGGGTCGAATGGCCTTCACCACTGCTGTGGCATTGCCATCTCAGAAACAGGAAATCTCCGAGATACCAACTCTCGAAAATCTCTTTAGATTCAAGGGACACAAAAATTGAAGACATACCCTCCAGTAAATTAACATAGCGACCCTGGCAGTTGTCGGGGTTGAAAGGTTAGTTTCCACTAAAAATTGGTGATTTTCAGGGTCAACAAGTTAATTTACCAGAGGGTATATCTGATATCACCTGCTCTTCGCAGAAACCCACAGCTTGAAATCTGAGGTGCAAGCCGTAGTCGATCTCACAATTGGGCCTAGCCCCAACTCATTGGGGTCGGACTGAGGTACTTACCAATCCCAACAAATTGTTATCTGGTTGGTGGTTTCAACCCCTCTGAAAAATATTAGTCAGTTGGGATGATTATTCCCAATATATGGAAAAATCAAAAATGTTCCAAACCACCAACCAGTTATAAGACTGATAAGACGACCTATTTATGGATTTACTCAGGTATTTCCACATAAAGCAATTTTCGGGTATGTGCCCAACTTGTTGATTTCCGGAGAATTCCATTCGCATTCCATGGCTGAATAAAATCCCGAACCCATGATCAACATCTACACCGACCGCACGTATAACCAAGATTTGGGCCCAAAAAACTGAAGGGAATGTAGCAACATTGTACCTTTTCATAGGAAACCATTGGATCATATTGGATCTATGTATGGATATTTCCAATCCATATGAATCCATTTTATACAGCGGTGGTACACCGGTTCGCGAAGCCCGCGCCTGCAGCTGTGGTTCATCAAGGCCACACGGCGCGCCAAGCCGATGCCGAAGATCGTGGGCAGTTCCTGGGGATGTGGAGGGGAAAGCCAAGAAAATAACACACACACACACGGATATCCTCTGGTAATTTAACAGTTTGCTATTGAAAATGGCCATAGAAATAGTGGATTTACCCATTAAAAATGGTGATGTTCCATAGTTTGTTGTATGTTTACCAGAGGGTATCTATCTATCTATGTAATGGAATGTAATGTAATGTAATTATATGTAATGTAATGCTGGTTGGTGGCTTTAACCATCTTGAAAAATATGAAAGTCAATGGGAAGGATGACATCCCATATATGATGGAAAATAAAAAATGTTTGAAACCACCAACCAGAATGTAATGTATGTATGAATGGGGATACATCATGGGGATATTATTGTTGCAAAACATCTATTTTATTGGATGTGCATATATCTTCCACATTATGTAATGGGGACATCCCAAGAATTGTGTACATATGGGGGTATAGTGGGGATATCCTGGGGGTATTCCATGGGAAGATCAGCAACGGACAACATTCCAATGTCAGGGTGAAGAACTGAAAAAAGAGGTGTCCTCCAGTTAAGATACGGACAACCCAACATGAATGTAGATCATTTTCCAAACAGGAAACTCATGGCTTTTCATATTTATGCTAATTTGCTGAAGGGTGGATAAGATGATGCAACCTCTGAAAATGGGCCAAAGTTCTAACTGAACTGAAGCGAGGTCCCGAAAAGCCGCAAGCTGAATCCAATAGGGAACAAACTTGAAAGCTCACAGACCCAAGCCCATAGCACATAGGCTACATCCCCCACCGGGAATTTAAAGCACGTGCTAAAGGAAGGCAGCCTGTCTGAAGCTGGTCATCAGGGAATCTTTTCAAATTGGTGATCCCTCTAGTCGAATTCCAATCAGATTTTCCAGTTCTGGAGATCAACGTTCCCTGTTTCCCCAAACAGGCTACCATCCCCATCCATTTCCTGCTCCCGAATGGTCCTGTTCCAATTCATCCTCTTGCACGCTGTCAGCCTGTCGTGGCAGCTGGAATATTTCTGACTCCACCCCCAAAATGTGAGCAAGATGCTTTGAAAGAAAGCAGATTTAACTTAGGACTTAGAGGCTATTTGGCCTCAGTTTCAAGTAGTGTGGGCAAAACAATGCCATAAACCAGCCCCCAGTCGTCACCATTTTTGTAGGTGGTATGGTTACCATTCCCAAATGGGTGGTTTATGACATTGTTTTACCCACAGTACAACTCATTCAGATCCTCCTTTGCTGCGTGTTTCTCTCGCTGTGGGAATCGCTGCATATCCTGTGTACGAGCTGGTTGCCATGGGGCCTCTTGGTCGCCCCACTTTAACCAGCGAAAATCCAACAGGACCCAGAAACGACAAGCAAAACACGACGGTTTTTCGTTCACTCACTTTGATCCGATTTGGATTTTCCCCTTGTTTGAAGCTCCAAAATCAGTTTCTTGTGTTGCAAGGCCGCAAACAAGGAAACTCGCACAGGCTCTGCCATGCTCCACCACTCTAATTTTTGGTAATGTACAAAGAGTACCATCCTGATATCCTTATCTCAAAAGATTGATGCATCCTGCTCTTGCAGGTGATCGATGCTGTGACACTGTGCAGACCAGCATTTCTTTGGAAGCAAACGATTCGCAAACACACAGAATGGACACCACTAATGTCTGGAAAGGCCAGCTGACACCTACAAGATCTTTGCTTCCCATCTGCTTTTCCATTATAATGAGCTCTCAACTGTATCTTCACTCACTTTCGGACCTTGTCTCGGCAGGATCTGGCCAGGTTTTATCTCCCAGCCCAAGACCCTAGGCCCCTTGGGCCAAACAGGTGCATAAAATCAATGTCATATTCATATGTCAATGGGTGAGTTGGAGGGTATCAACTTTCATATAGCTTTTGTAGGGTAATGGGAGCCCCTAGACATGATCAGAGTTTATTCAAGGTCAACACACATCAAGGTTGCCTGGTGCTGCCAGCTTTCATCCCGTTTCACACGATCAAGTACTGGGGAGATGCAGGAGACCAAGAAGCTCGTAGATCGCATTCTCCAGTTCGCTGTCCTGGAGCCGAGGTGGTCGTTTTAAAAACGGTTTGTTAAAGGTGTGCGAAGGGAGCTCCCCCATTTGCCGTTTCAAATTGCTGCATATTTCCAGATGGTGACTATGGTTTTCCCCATTTTTACGTCCGTTTACTATTTGGGATTGATGGAAGGTAATGATTGCTCACAATCATCACACATAGGAGGATCTGTCTTCAAGAGCACCGAGCTGTTCACTTCCTTGTAGGGTTGCATGATTCTGGGCAAAATCTAATAGTCCCTCACCTACAAATG